GGCACCATAGCCTACTACATGTGACGTCGGAGAGCGAACAATGTCACGAAGAGGCAGCGACCGAGACAGCGACGGTCAATACAATAAGCACACCGAAAGCTATTCTTAAGATGCTCAAGGTGGAGATATACGGACCGGCTGGGAGCAAACAAGTACTGGCGCTGCTAGATGAAGGCTCAACGGTGACACTGCTTGACGAAAACGTGGCTTCGAGCATCGGCATCCAGGGTCCTCGCGAAACCCTGAATATAGAAACTATCGGCGGAGGGCAAATGAAAAATCACGACTCCATGATTTTAGACATCGAAGTGAAAGGGATCAAGCAAAGCGAGAAAAGTACACTCAAGAGGGCAAGAACTATCAAGGAGCTCAAATTAACCCCACAACTCGTAGATAAAAGCCGACTAAAGAAGTGTCATCACTTGCGGGGTTTACTACAAGACGTGTGCTACGAAGCTGAGGCGCCGAAGCTGCTCATTGGCCAAGACAATTGGGAATACATTGTCTCGTTACAAATACGACGTGGAAAGCCAGGGCAGCCGGTGGCGTCACGAACAAAGTTAGGATGGGTTCTCCACGGCTCCGACAGCAGCGGCGTGTCTCCGATCAATTATGTGAACACATGTGCACACGCAAACGTCGTCGAAGACAAAATAGATCAGCTGGTGAGGGAACACTTCACTATTGAGTCTTTGGGGGTTCAGCCGAAGAAGCCTTCAACGGATATAGAACAGCGAGCACTAGACATATTGGAAAGAACCAGCCGACAGTTGGAAGATGGCAGATACGAGGTCGGACTGTTGTGGAAAAAGGAGGACATACAACTTCCAAACAATTACGCAGCAGCTTTCAACAGATTTCAAGGCATAGAAAAAAGCTGCGTAAGGACGCTAAATTAAAAAATGAGTATAGCGCGCAGATAGACAATCTGTTGAAAAGCAACTACGCTGAAGAAGCACCAGCCGACTGCACATCCAACAAAAAATGGTACCTGCCTCACTTCCCAGTGGTTCACCCTCTGAAAAAGAAGCTGAGAATTGTTTTCGACGCTGCGGCCAAATACAACGGAGTCAGCCTCAACGACGTTCTGCTGTCCGGCCCGGACTTACTGCAGTCAATATTTGGAGTACTACTGCGATTCCGTCAAGGCCCTGTAGCAATATCGGCCGATATAAAGGAAATGTTTCTGCAAGTGAAAATACGTAAAGAAGATAGAGACAGTCTCAGGTTCCTATGGCGAAAAGACAAGGAAGCGCCAGTGAAGGAATACAGAATGACATCAGTGATATTTGGAGCTGCGTCGTCGCCTTGCACCGCTATTTATATAAAAAACAAGAACGCAAAGATCCACTTACATAAATATCCAGAAGCGGCGCAAGCAATAGAGCGCAATCACTATATGGATGACTATTTGCAAAGCTTCCACAGTGTTGACGATTGCAAACGAGTAATGCAGCAAGTCGACTTAATCCACCAGAGGGCGCACTTCGAGCTACGAGGATGGGCGTCGAATAAGAAAGAGATCGTAGAAGCCGACGGCGAACAGGAAGTGCACCTAGGTGAAAACGAAGAAAAGACCCTGGGACTGAGATGGCTGACGTCAGAGGATTGTCTTGGATTTAGAAGCCAATTTAGGAAAATCCCTGACGAGGTAGCGCGAGGCATGCAGACTCCAACAAAACGAGAAGTCACGGGAGCTGTGATGTCTACTTTCGACCCACTCGGACTGCTATCACCCATTCTCATCCAAGGAAAGAAGCTCATCCAAAAGATATGGCGCAGTGGTGTTGGATGGGATGACCAAATCACTGAAGACGACACCGAAGCTTGGAAGAGCTACCTAGAGCATATCGGTAGAATAAAAGACATCCGACTGCCGCGATGCATGTCACCATTCTGCACTGAGGGGGAGCTGCATACTTTTACTGACGCGAGTGAGACAGCGTATGCAGCCGCAGTATACTGGCGAACCAGAGGTAAAGGAAAATACTTGATAAACCTCGTCGCCGCCAAGTCAAGAGTAACGCCTCTGAAACCTACATCTATGCCGAGGCTTGAACTGCAGGCAGCTCTATTAGGTAGTAGACTTGCAGACTCAGTGGCAAAAGAACTCGACCTGCAAGTTACAAAGAAAACGTTTTGGACGGATTCGAGTGTGGTACTTTCCTGGATAAAGGCAGATCCCAGAACGTTTAAGACCTTCGTAGCTCATAGAATTGCGGAGATAGAGGATCTGACAAAACCGCAAGACTGGAGATGGGTGCCTACAGCGCAGAATCCTGCCGATGATGCGACCAGGAGCCCACCGGAAGAATTTAACGCGGAACATCGGTGGTTCAAGGGTCCAGATTTCCTGTCAAAAGGCGAAGAAGAATGGCCAGCTCCACGAAGTTTTAAAAAGGAAAAATGCGACGAAGACAGAACGACGGAGCAGGTGAATACACTTCGCCACAGTGAAATTACTCCGGTTCCCGAAAACTTATCATCGTGGACAAGATTGTGGAGATCGACTGCTAGGGTACTACAATTCATCGACCTATGTAGAGAAAAGAAGCCGTCGAACCTCGAGCGCTGCAATAAAAGTGCAAAAAAGAGGCGAACTTACCTTCCAATCGGCGAGACACACCTATTACGAGCGCAGGAAGTTCTAATCGCCCAATGTCAGCAAAGCAGCTTTGAACAAGACACTAAAAATCTCAAACAAGGGCGCACGACAGAGAATCGAAGCCAATTGAAAAGGCTAGACGTCACTATGAAAGACAATCTCATAAGACTTCAAGGTAGAGCAAGAACCGTAGCGGGCATTGACAACGACTATTTAACGCCCATAGTACTGGATGGCAGGAGCGCCATTGGGAGATTGATGATTAAACATTATCACGAGAAAACAACCATGGTAATCAAGCCACAGTAATGAACGAAATACGGCAAAAATACTGGATGTTAGGCCTGAGATCAGTGCTGCGTAGTATACAACAAAACTGCCAGCACTGCAAGCTGAAGAAGGGTAAACCAGCGGAGTCGCCGGCGGGCAACTTACCTCAAGAAAGGCTGAGACATGGAGAGCCCCCTTTCACGTGCACAGGTGTGGACTACTTCGGCCCAATGCTCGTGGCGATCGGCAGACGAAGAGAGAAGAGATGGGGAGCCTTGTTTACCTGCCTGACCACAAGGGCAGTACATATCGAGATAGTGCCCAGCCTTACGACGGACTCTACCATAATGGCGTTAAGGAGATTCGCTGCTCGAAGAGGAATGCCAAAGATAATTTATTCCGATAATGGAACAAACTTTGTCAAGGCCAGCAAAGAACTACAAACGGCCATTGAAGACCTTAAAAGAGAGGAAATCGTCACAGAAGCAGAGAAGGTTGGCATACAGTGGAAATTCATTCCTCCCGGCGCACCAAATATGGGAGGAGCTTGGGAACGATTGGTGCGCTCCATTAAGGTCGCACTAGACGCTACATTAAAGGAGCGCGTTCCACGAGAGGAAGTTCTGCATACGTTGCTGTTGGAAGCAGAACACATGGTCAACTCCACCAATAACCTAGCGGAAGAAGAGGCGCTAACCCCAAATCACTTTCTCATTGGGCGATCCAGTGGAGCTGCACGCGTTGGATATTTTCCTGATGCAAAGCTGGTGGGCAGAGAAGATTGGAAGACCGTCCAACGACTCTCTGATCACTTTTGGAGGAGATGGCTACGGGAGTACTTGCCCACACTACTGCCCAGGAAAACGACAGGACGACGGGAAGGCGAGCAGCTGCAGCCAGGCGACGTGGTTCTTATCGTAGATCGCACGCTACCACGATGCACTTGGCCGAAGGGAATTATCGAAACCACGTACCCCGGGCCCGACGGAAGAACCAGGATCGTGGACGTGGCAACCAAAGGTGGAGTGATACGAAGACCATCGTCGAGGATCGTCATCTTGGTGCCTGCGAAGTCGCCGTGCAGGAATGACGGTGCTACGCACGAGGGGGAGAATGTTGGCGACTCATAGATTTAAGTAGTATTAAGTATGAGCTATATGTTAAATATGAATATTGTTTGCAGCTCGTAAGTGGTAATTAAGTATGAGCTATAAGTAAAATAAGAATATTGTTGATAGCTCATAAGTAGAAATTAAGTATAAATAAGTTAGGTAAAATATGTAAAGAAAAATATAGTTAAATAAATTATAAAATGCTTCGCCGAATAAAAGGGTCGCGTAGCTCTCGTCGCGGTATACGCGCGCAGATGGCTGTAAGCGCAGCTCTCGTCGCGGTATACTGTCGAAGTACTTAAGCTCGGCGAGATCTACGCAAAATCCTCTTTTTCCTCCGCAACGAACTGGGACCCAAGAATAATCGGCGAAGCAAGAAACAAGAACAAGGCGCAGTTTCATTTCAAGACAACATCCTACAATTACGCACTAGCAGGGGTGCGTGGGTTGAGGCGGTGCCAGCGATACGTCGAACCGTCTTGACAAAACGTACGTAGTCAAACCCCACCGGTATTCAAAGCCGCGCCGAGGTTACTTTGGTTACTGCACGGGTGTTCTCAAACGAACATCTAAACGTCTAATCCCGTGCAGGCCCGAGTCTCTGAGGCGACGTCGGGATTGGCTAGAACAGTAGTACGTACGAAGTCAAACCCCACCGGTATTCAAAGCCGCACCGAGGTACTTTGGTTACTGCACGGGCGTTCTCAAACGAACATCTAAACGTATAATCCTGTGCAGGCCCGAGTCTCTGAGGTGTCGTGGGGGTTGGCATCAACAGTAAGATTAAATGAGATTTGACTCGACCCCCTCCCCCCATTAAACACCTCACGTAATTTATGGACGCCCCCTTATGAGAAAATTTCAGAGTAGTTGTATCTCACCAGACCTAAGTGTAAGCAAAAAGAGCCCCCTTCGAGGAAAGTGGTGATTTGACTCTCCTCTGCTGCCTATCTCGGCAGATAGGCAGCAGGCCTAGGGGTCCAATTAAAAAAAAACAATGATTAAGTATATACTTACATATCAGCCTCATTCCCGAGACCACCGATGAAGATTACGTGAGCTTGAACTCTGGGATCTGAAGTCACGATACTTCCCAATTTCTCTGGTGGAATGCCATATCTATAAACAAACTTTCATTTAAATAAAAATTTATCGCAAAATATGTTGCTAAGCTCATATCTCGAGAAACTGGACCAAACGGATGAGGAAAAGGTTTTTATAGAGAAAAATTGGAAAGGGTTTTTTCTTTAGTAATAGGAGGCAAACGGGCCGGAGGCTCATCTGATGCTAAGTGATACGACCGCCCATGGACACACATTGCTAGAAGGCTCGTAAGTGCGTTGCCGGCCTATTAAGAATTGGTACGCTCATTTGTTGTTTTTGTTCCGGAATAGCAACAGTCTCTAAGGGGTATAGCAAAATGTTCCATATGTTGGTATGTAGCTACTAAAAAGGTAGGCTTAGTAAGAAAGCCAGATAGTAATGAATACAACCATTAGAATTACACTACGAATGATGTAATCTTTCATCTCGTTCTTTCTTATTATGTTTAGGTTGTAATGAAAAGAGATAGCAGATATCTATCTACCAAAATGCACTTTTGTCGAACAAATATTAGCCTAAATTGAAAAACTAATAATCGCTTTCGTATACTCTTCTTAACAGACATACAGATCTCATATTTCCCTTATATAATATATACCTGCGTAGATTGGCATCAGATAATATAAGAACAATAGATTCATCGGTATCTTCATTTGCCAACGTAGAGATGGCGTGACTAGCGGCTGGCAACGTGTTGTCTCCCGACCAACAGAACTGCGCGTGCGCATGCATTGTGCGAATTATCTGTAATAAGAATGTGTCACTAAATTGACTCCCTCAGCTAATCATTTAACGATATAATTGTCAAATAATATTTCACTACCCCAAACATTCCTATTTTTATTTGCAAGCTTGGTTTTTGCCTTTCTAGGGCAGCAAGGTTCAGGTACAAGTAATCTTAAAAAAAAATTAATTTTTTTGATTTTAATTTTCATTCAAATAAATCCTTTTTTAATTTGTTTAAACAGAAATTAATTTTAAAAAAAATATAGTACAGTGGGGGCAAACGGGCAGGGTGGTCTTCTGACTAATCAGAACCTTATACTGCCAAAAGGCTCGCAAGTACCGGCCCTTTAAGAAGTAGTAAGCTTTTTGCTTAACGGACCGGGACTCGTGGTTTCGAAATATTATATTGAGCAAGTTCCACGTAGTGGTGGTAAAACGCTCAATTGCAGAAGGGCGAAAGTCGAGGTGATAATGTCGTGTTCTGCCTGAAATTCAGCTGCAGGTACTAATTCCAGCTCTTCTTTCAAAGACCTCATAGATTGCACCACTAGTGTAAATAAATAATCATGGAAAAAATCATTTAACCCATTGTTTCCCAACGTAGGGACCACGCCCCACTGAGGGGCAATTTCATTGGGGGCTATTCGAAAATTGATTAAAATTATTTGGAATTTGAATTTCAGTTTTTCGTTGTTTTGAAAATTTACTTACTGTTTCGTAACAATTCCCTAATGATTTCTTCCTTTCCTATGATTAAATTCCTTAAATAATTAATTAATATTTAAAACTAATGCATGTTACATTTTATAAGACTTTTCGATAGACACAAAAAAATGTTGGGAAACACTCTTCTGACCTGTAATCTTTCTTTTTCGTTCTGGGGCGGTCTGTCCACTCGTATCAGCTCCAGCGCGTGTTCCTCCCCAGAATGCCCAAACATGTCATATCTTATTCGGGTCTCGTACCCCTTCAGGGCTTCCGTTAGGAGAACTACGGCCTCCATCGAACGTTCGAGACGTCCGTCTAACGAATTGAACCTAGTCAAAAATAATAACATTATATCACCTTAGTTCCGTTTCCATCATTTTATTTATGTCATTAAATTATATCTTAATATATAAAATTCTCGCGTCACAATGTTCGTTCCCATACTCGTCCGAAAGGGCTGGACCGATTCTTTTGAAACTTTTTATGTATATTCAGTCAGTCTAAGAATCGGCTACTATCTATCTTTCAAACCTCTAAGTGATAAAGGGTGTCCAACCCAAACAATTTTTTGCTTCAAACATACCTATACATACTGCCAGAGACATCTAGAACCACTCTTAACCGCTTTGGCTTCTCCGGGGGAGAGCCCGGGGGCGGTTCTTGTTCAGTTCTACGCCTGTAAATTGATTTCTCACCTGTAATACCTAAAAAGAAGGACATTTATCATAAAAAAATTTTTCACAATTGTTTTAAATAGCAAATCCATTGGCTTTATCAAATTACGGCACAAACCACCTATTTTAAAAATTTAGAATCAAAATGTTACCTATTTTTTAAATTAAAACTTTTACTTAGGCACAACATGTGCTATATATATATATATATGTACAAGTATTATGTCACGCAATTTTTGGAGATTATAGACTTATTGACCTAATCTAACCTAAGCCCCCCCCAATGTAACGCGCCGTAACGATTTACTGTACCCAAGTATAGTAAAACGTTTCGTGGCCACCTAGTGACTCTTTATACCTAAAAGTTACCAAATTGAAAATAATATTGACAATAACGCGTAATTCAGTTCCCGCCCCGCATCGTAACGTTTTACAAAAGGATTACCCCCTCCCTCGCTTCCATTAAAACTCATATTTTTAATTCCGTAGAATTCAGACATTTCATAAGTGTTGCTACTAAAAAACGTTCTCCACCGAAAACCATTTGAGGGCAATAAAAAATAAAATACTATGTATCTTTTATGTTTTACCTACAAAGAGGTAAATCTAAATATTTACTTACTCAAGTGACCTATTACAAAAATAACAAATATTTCAATATCTTTAGCTGGCATCACTGCCTATTAATTCCAGGTTTAGTAAACCTTTAAAAAAAAATGTTAGCTGTTACGTCGCGTCTGTCACACTGATTGATTGATTGGGACGTAATTATCATTCGCCGTAAAACCAATGAGGAGCACCGCACTTAATAAAATGGATACATTCACTAACAAATAAAATGTATGTATAGACTCGTATTGAAATTGAAAAATGTGCCCGGCCAAAAAGGTTTGCCATCTCTGACATGTCAAAAAATGATAGCTGTCAGAATTCTACGGAATCAGAGTATAGTTCCACATACGGAGCGCTCAAGTATTCATACAAAAATGTTTTATTACTATTCGTGCTAAATGTACAGAACAATTGACTAGATATACTTTCTAAAAATACATAAATATAAAAATGAGCACCTTCGATAATTTTGCCATCATCCAATTCCCCGCTAGTCTGGTGTCTACTCCACTGTCTCTCTTTCTTCTTCGCTTGCAACTCCGCCAATACACCCCTTAAAGCACTTATCTGAAATATTTTGATTTTATTTCAGCTATATTTTTGATTATTTAGAAAATTTTTAATGTACCGTAGATTTAGCACTATGTATGCTGTGGTAAACTTTAAAAAAAATAAATAGTTATAGTGTTTAAAGTTGGCTTGTAACAATGAAGTGCGTGTTTAAATGAAATCTAATGTCATTTACATTCAGCCGTAATGGGCAGGGAAGTGGATAGGGAAGTGGACAGGGAAGTGGACAGGGAAGTGGACAGGGAAGTGGACAGGGAAGTGGATAGGGAAGTGGACAGGGAAGTGGACAGGGAAGTGGGCAGGGAAGTGGACAGGGAAGTGGACAGGGAAGTGGACAGGGAAGTGGACAGGGAAGTGGACAGGGAAGTGGACAGGGAAGTGGACAGGGAAGTGGACAGGGAAGTGGACAGGGAAGTGGACAGGGAAGTGGACAGGGAAGTGGACAGGGAAGTGGACAGGGAAGTGGGCAGGGAAGTGGGCAGGGAAGGACTTCTCGAGAAGTATCGCGTTTACACACTCGTATTGAATGTAAATGCGGCATAAAATAGTAATTTTAAATACTACAAATTCAAAAAAAATGTATTTACTATCTACTATTAGTTATTGAAATAAACTGTACTAGAAAGAGGGATATAGGGACCGTGATTTTTGGGTTCCTTCCCCAGTTCAAATTAATGACCGATCGATCAAGTGGTTGTTTATTGTTTTATAACTAAAGATGTTGTCTGGAACATGGTGTGGTTGCAGCTCCTTACAAACATTGCGTAAAACAAAAAACATAGCGATTAAAAAGAGCGGCGGAGAGTTTATTCAGTTCTTCCCTCCGTTCTACGCCCTTGGTATGAGAACTGGCAGTAAATATATAATATATAAGTTTTTGACGTTCATAGTTATTCAAGTTACAAAACCAAAGACAATGTCTATGAACTATTAAAACTGAATGAACTAAGTACCTGCGGTTGAACAGCTCTTAAGAACTGTCCATACAATTTGGCATCGTATTCACTCATATTGATCTCCTTGAGACGTTCCGCAAATGCTTTTCTGTTCATCGCACGCGCAGCCTCCTTCACGTGATCCGGAATGTCATCTTTTTCAGCATCTGACAACTGCAAAAACATTTTAATAATATAATAATTATACTTGTTAACACCATAATAACGAGTTTAAAATTATAAACGTTTTCTCTACGTTTAGCCCCTATTTTTTATTATTGAACTAAAACAATGTTTCTTAAAAATAATATACATGGCAAAACAACGTTTGTCGGGTCAGCTACTATATATATATATATGTAAAGAGAATGATCTCTTTAATTTGAATATTCGCGCGCACTGCTAGTTCGTGAGTGAGCCGCGTCGTGTCACGTCAAGCTGGCTGCCATTGTCAAAGATGTAAAGCACAAATATGCTGAGATCGTTGAATTGTATTTTAATCTTATTTGTTAATTATTTTCATATTTAGTTAAGCTATATGCATCGAGAGGTGATAACAATAAACTTTTATTGTCGTTTCTTTACTTACAGGTGAGATTGTATTAGTCTTGTAAGGATTGTATCAGTGTGTAACCTACTCGATAAATAAAATTGCATTCTTTACTTACAGAGAAACAAATAGAAGTTTTATTTAGCCTCTTGCAATTGAAATACAAACTATTGTCTTATAAAACGACAATACTTGTTTATAATGGCACAAAAATTGCAGTTTGTATTTAAGCTGGAAGCATCACAAACTGACAATAAGACGAGTGTGATTGCCATAACCTCAATTACAACAGAAGATGACAAAAAGTATACACTGTCTGAGACTGATAAATACGCGAGTCGTCACATAGCACTAACAAAAACAGAAACCTACAAAAGAGTGAGAAAAAGTTTAAATCAAAGAGGTCAAGAAAGAACAATATGGATGACATGTACAGAAGAAATGATTCAAGCCTATTTTGATGAAGATAATAATTTAATGTTTAACGACCTATATTTAAAAGAAGAAAAAAAAACAAACAGATATTGTAGAATCCACACAGAAGAAAAAGGGTCTACTAAATTTGAAAAATATATCAGAAAGATTCATGATTGAGAAATTTGTATGTAAATTCTCAAATGGGAAACAATGGATAGAAATATTCGAGAATGAATGTAAACGATTTGAGATTGAGGAAGATACAACAAAGATAGAAATATTAAGATTATTTTTGGACAAAACATGTGCAGATTGGCACTCGGCAACATTGAAGACTTTGAAAATCGAGGCTGGATGGTCCGAGTGGAAAAATAAATTTTTGGACACATTTGCCGATAAAGGATGGGGTTCGGGAATGTATGCCATATTTTACAAATATAAAGAAGGATCACTGATGGAATACGCTATTAGAAAAGAAAAGTTATTATTAGATATGGATGAAAATATTGGCGGGAAAAGTCTGGTCACACTTATAGCAGCCGGCTTACCTGAATTTATTAGAAACAGAATTGATCCTGAAAAGTGTGAAACCTCAACAAGATTGCTTCATGAAATAAGTAAATGTGAAAGTTTGGTAAATAATAAAAACTTCAAAATAAAAAAGGAAGAAAAAGATGACAATAAGAAATACAGTTTAGGAAAAAAACCATGCAAAACCTGTCAGAATTTAAATAAGGGTAATCGATACCACCCAGAACAGTCTTGTTGGTTTAAAAAAGAAGGGGCAGATAACAAAAGGATTGGAAGTAATTCGGTTATAGAAGTAAATCTAAGCGAAGAGACAAAAAACGAGTAATCACACCATTGATAAAAATAAATATGTTATTAGAAGACAAAATACAAATAAATGGAACATATGATTCAGGCTCACAAGTGTCTCTGATAAACAAAAGGTTAGTTAGAACACAGAATGATTCTGCGGATACAAATAGAATATTATTAAGAACTGTCAATGGTGTGACATACACAAAAGGTTTAATATATAATAAGAATAAAAGTAAAGATTTTTGATATAGAAGAATATGTTGATGTTTTTATTGTAGACAAACTGGATTTTGAAGATTTCATTATAGGACTAGATATGATAAAAAAATTTAAATTAGCTCAAAATGAAGATTTAAATTTTTTACAAAAGACAAAGAGGGAGATAAAAACTATGAATGCATTTGAAGAGATAGAGGAAATTAAAGTCAATTTTAATGAGCATGTGAATAAAAATGACTTCATAACCAATCTACATCACTTGGACAATATCAAAAAGTCCCGAATACACAATTTAATAGAGAATTATAATACTATATTTGCCAAAGACAAATATGATGTAGGTACAGTAACAGATTATGAAGCCCGGATAGACTTAATGGTGGACAAGTACTGTAGCAAAAGACCATATCGTTGCACATTAGAAGACAAAATAGAAATAGAAAAACAGGTGGGTAATTTACTAAAAAATAACTTAGGGCCGGTTTTTTGATCCGTAGTTAACTCAACTATTGGTAAAAAATCGTTACTATTAGTTAAATATCAGCAAAATGCGTTTTTTGATCCGTGGTAAGAGCATCCAATGGTAAAATATCTAACCATTAGTCAAAAAAGTTAACTACTCAGTATCGGAGGGTTAAAAAGATGGCCGCTGGTAATTTATATAGTAACAGCTGTTTGTCACAGAAATCAAACTATGATAAATACGTTTATTACTATCTAATGATGAATTTAAACATATTGAGATACTTTAATTAATGAGACGATGAAGAAGACGATAATATTATATGAGAATGTGTTAATGAGTGACCAAAAATATTTAGGCAATGTCATCCGCCATTAGAAACCTGGGATGATGTAGATTTTTGTCACTGTTACCCCCTATCGAAGGGAACAGTGCTCTGGATTGTTACTGAAATTGGGAATGATCTTAAACTGCCAATGAACAACCTATTTTGCTTCATTACTAACGACAGAACCGCAGCAGTATATAATTAAGTATATTACTAATTCATTATGTGTTTTATTGCCTATAATATTAACTTATAATTATTATAATTAAATAAAATACAAGAACAAGAGTATATATAGACAGCAGCTCATACAAACCTATTTTGCTTCATTACTAGCTACAGAACCGCAGCAGTATATAATTAAGTATATTACTAATTCATTAAGTGTTTTATTGCCTATAATATTAACTTATAATTATTATAAGTTAACATTATAGGCAATAGAATACATAATTGAATTAGAGTTAATATTATTTATATATTACTAATAATATTAACTTATAATTACTTATACTAAAAACTACAGCTACACATTAGTTAGGGACCTATGATATTCTTTAGGGCTTTTATTACATTTGTGAGTTAACATCTACCTACTTTATTACAAGAATTTATAAATAAAACATTTGACTTGATTAATAAACTGTTTAATTATAACTTAAATACAAACCATTTTTATTAAAAAACATTACAAAATTTACATGAAACCCTAAAGTAGCAATTAAATATTTTCTAATTGTTTCTTCTTGCATTTCACCTCAATTTGATGCAACTCTTTTTGCTGCTACATATATTTATTGTGCCTTTCTTCCATCTGCTGCATCACTTTTTGGTGCACCTTCTCTTTATGCAGTATGAATTTTTGGTGGGCCTCTCATTGGTGCAGCAAATGTTTTTGATGCTCTTCCTTAGCATAATTGAACAAATCATCCTCTCTTATTTGTCTTTGTTTCAAAAACTCAATTTTTTTTATCCGTGTGGATCATAATCCGCTTCCTTGTTTCCAAAGGGTTAAAAGATTTTTCCTTTTGTTGTAGGACACAGCTATACAAGAATAAATATAAAAATGTGCCTACACCTTCATTAAATGTATATTAAATTTAACACTTCGGTGTCTAGACCCATCTGAGTTGAAAACGTCACAGAGATTTCCAAGCTGCATCTTTTTGTAGATTGCTGCAGTGATCAGTTGTTTGCAGGTTACGACTGTGTAATCCTTGAGAAGCATCACCAGTTTGGCAGTTTCTTTTTTGGCGAAGTTAGCAGTATGGTCCCTTTAACAAAACATAAATGTATTACTTTCTATTACGAAACACAAGATAAACCGAAATAAATAACACGAAAATATGTTTGTACTTACTTATTTGACCGTTGGCTGTTTGCGGACATCGTTATTTATATATTTAAGTATCGTAAAAAGTGTAAACCGTATTAAATCACAGAAAAACAACTTTATTTATATCGTGTTATTTAGATTAATTTGACACTTCAAACTCTTCAAAGCGCAAATAACGAATGAAGATGGCAAAAATGGATTTCATTCACTCAATATGTCTAGTGTTGTCATACAAAATAAATGTTCCCCACAAAAAAGAACCACATTTTTTGGGATGTCATTGCTCATTGCACTGGCAACAAATTGACAAATTGTTAAGTTTAACTATAGTTAAAAAAGGCATTGAAAAACGCATTTACGATTTTACCAATGGTTATTCATTTAACTATAGTTAATGTAACAAATGGTAAAACCATTTTTTACTACGGATCAAAAAACTGGCCCTTAATTGAGGAATCATAAAGCCCATTCGCAGCACCAGTTACCTTGGCATTTAAAAGAGACGAAAATACAAAATCGAGACTCTGTATTGATTTTCGTGAACTAAACAAGATAGTCATACCACAAGCACAACCATTTCCATTGATAAGCGACTTGATTGTTAAAGCAAGAAATTGTAAATATTTTACCACACTGGACATAAATTCCGCGTTTTGGTCCATACCACTACGTATTGAGGATAGACAAAAGACAGGATTTGTCACACAGGATGGACATTATCAATGGACTTGCCTACCATTTGGATTGAAAACATCACCTGCCATTTTCCAGAGAATTTTATCAAATATATTAAGAAATAATAACTTGAAAGACTTCACAGAAAATTACATTGATGATATCTTAATATTTTCACAATCGTTTGAAGAACATATAGATCACATAGAAAAAGTACTCAAAGCAATAATAAAAGAAGGATTCAGATTAAAATTTAAAAAATGCACATTTGCAGCAACATCAGTGAAATACCTAGGACATATAATAGGAAATAATACGGTAAAACCGCTCAAAGATAACATTATTTCAATAAGGAATTTTCCAACACCCAAAACCCGAAAGAATATTAGACAGTTTCTGGGAAAGATTAACTTTTACCACGAATACATACCAAATAGTTCGATATTATTGGATCCACTACAAAAAGTATTGAGGAAAGATGCCCAGTTTATATGGTCAGAAGAATGTGAAGAAACTTTTTCTAATATAAAAAATATATTATGCTCACAACCGGTACTCGAAATATTTGATAAAGACCTGCCTATTACAATTTACACGGATGCCTCGTTGAATGGTATAGGCGGTATTAAAACAGATTCAAAAAAATGGTAAAGAAAAACCAGTTGGCTATTTTTCAAAAAAACTCAATGATTCACAAAAAAGAAAGAAGGCAATATACCTTGAATGCTTAGCAATAAAAGAAGCTATCAAATACTGGCAATATTGGTTGATTGGAAGAAAGTTCACCGTTTTTTCGGATCACAAACCACTAGAAAACCTCAACATAAAGGCTAGAACAGATGATGAACTTGGTGAATTAACTTTTTATTTGTCACAATATGACTTCAACATCAAATATATTCCGGGGAAGAAGAATACGGAAGCAGACAGTCTCAGTAGAAACCCAGTATTGGAAGATAATGATAATGATGAAGAAATTTTAAAAACGGTGAATCTGATAACAATAGATGATATTAAGGCAGATCAGCAGAAAAACGAGAAAATAAAGGAAAAGAAAACCAAAATAATCGAAAGAAATGGGATACTATACAAAAAAGATCGAAACAGAGAAAAAGTTATATTATCTGAAGAAGCGAGTGTGAAGTTAATAAAGGAAACACACACCGAATGGTGTCATTTAGGGATCAACCAAATGATAAATAAAATCAGTCCTTATTATACAGCAAAGAATTTAACGAGAAACATTAAAAGAATATGCAACAATTGTGAAACCTGTATAAAAAATAAATCGAGAGGCCAGGATAAATACGGATTAATGTCACATCTGGGACCAGCCGAAAAACCATTTCAGATAATGTCGATAGATACCATTGGTGGCTTTGGAGGACAAAGATCAACAAAGAAATACCTACACTTGTTAGTTGATCATTTTACAAGATTTGCGTTCATTCTGACATCAAAAACGCAAAATGCTGCAGATTTCATCAAGTTAGTAAAAAAAGTTCTGGAGACGGAAAACATTGAGATATTACTAGCAGATCAGTATCCAGGATTAAATTCAAAAGAATTCAAAGAATTTTTGACAGATAATGATGTAAAACTAATATTTACTGCGGTAGATACACCATTTTCAAACGGACTCAACGAAAGATTGAACCAAACACTGGTTAACAAAATGAGGTGCAAAATAAATCAGAAGAATGAAAAGAAATCCTGGACGTCAATTGCAAGAGAATGTATAGATAAGTATAATGAAACCGAGCACACAGTGACAGGCTTTGCACCAGTATATCTATTAGAAGGAAAAGTCACCAGCATTTTGCCACAAGAACTACGACAACCATTAGATACAGAAACATGGGTTCAAAATAGACAACAAGCACTTGAAAGATCAATTAGATCACATGCATATAATAAGAAATTATTTGATAAAGGCAGAAGACAATGTGAATTCAACATAGGAGAACTGGTTTATGTTGAAAACGGAAACAAATTAAATAGGAAAAAAATGGACAATTTAAGAATCGGCCCATTTGAAATAACAGACAAAATATCGAATACAATATACAAAATAAACACAGGCAGAACAAAAACGAATACAAGCTTATACCATATAACAAAACTTATTCGAATGGACGGTGGAATAAATGATGGATAATGCTGAATAATATGTACGGCTACCATGAGAATTACTGGAGCAATTCTCATCCCGGAGGAGGGAGATGTAAAGAGAATGATCTCTTTAATTTGAATATTCGCGCGCACTGCTAGTTCGTGAGTGAGCCGCGTCGTGTCACGTCAAGCTGGCTGCCATTGTCAAAGATGTAAAGCACAAATATGCTGAGATCGTTGAATTGTATTTTAATCTTATTTGTTAATTATTTTCATATTTAGTTAAGCTATATGCATCGAGAGGTGATAACAATAAACTTTTATTGTCGTTTCTTTACTTACAGGTGAGATTGTATTAGTCTTGTAAGGATTGTATCAGTGTGTAACCTACTCGATAAATAAAATTGCATTCTTTACTTACAGAGAAACAAATAGAAGTTTTATTTAGCCTCTTGCAATTGAAATACAAACTATTGTCTTATATATATGTATAATGTATATCTTGAATTTTTTAAACTTAGCAATTTGTATTAAAAGAAATTAAATTACTACGCATTTTATTAATCGTCCACTTATCAAAATACAATAATTATAATAAAATAGTAAATATACAACAATACCTGATGGACATCATGCCCCTTATCCAACCTGTACGGTCCGCCCTTGCCGCCCAAGCCAGCCGTATCCCTCCCACCAGTTCCACCCGCCCAAGTGTTCCCACCTACGTGAGGCTCATTTTTTGGATCTTCCTTTCCGTGTTTTGGTGATGATACATCTTGCCTATTAAAAAAATAATTAAAATGTCGGTAACATTTACGTATAAGGGAACAATATACCTATAGAAAATCCCTTTTTTTCTTAAATGAGTTATATTTATATTTATATATATATATATTTATATATATATATATATATATATATATATATATATATATATATATCATATATATAGATATATATATATTTGAGAACTAGCAGTAAATGTAAATTTAAACAAAAAAGTCATCAAAAAGAGAACGACAAAATTATAACCTAGCCTATACAATAATTATGGATAATTAGACAAAATATATAAATCAGTGGCGCTACAACCTTTTGAAGTGAAAACTTCTTTAGCATCGTTGACATTTAAAAGTTGATGAAACGAAAAAGAGACAGACGCAATACATTCATAAGATTTAACGAAGGAGAAAATGAGATTCAAACTTTAATTATTTTAGTTTTAGCCAGAGGGCTCGCGAGTGCGTTGCCGGCCTTTATTAAATTGGTACGCTCTTTTCTTGAAGGACCTAAGTCAAATTGGTAAAGAAATACTTCTGGGGACAGCTGGTTCCACGTAGTGGTGAAAACTGCCTTAAAAACTCAGTTGTGGACGGACGTCGAATTTGAAGTCTGATGATGAACACTTTCCATGGTAAATGCGGTAGAAGATGCAAAACCTTTCATTAGATACTTCAAATCGCTGATATAATAATATATGAGACAATAAGTATGATAATGAGATATACTGGAGTGAAAAATATATTAAAATTCACATATATAAAATCACAGAGTTTCGGAATTAAAAGGCTATATTATATTAAGATCATTCAATAGTCTCACCCACTAGTCCTCTCGATAGAAAGCTGAATCTTCTTCAAGGCATCTTTAGATCTGCCTTCGAGCACTCCTTCGGTGGGGAGACCGCTCGAATGTAAAACCTCCATTAACGTGTCGGACATGTCTTTGCTGTATCGATCGAAATCGAACACGTTACCTATCGCCGTGGCCAGGTCCTCGTCTGGATATTTCTGAAAATTCGGAAGAAATCTAAGACAAGGGTCTCGGTGTCTCTTGATCTTATGTCAGTCTTGGAAGACATATGTTTATATTTCGAGAATTCCTTCGACATTAAAGCAAGTAACTGTCCAAGTCAGGAAAATGAGAATATCTTAATATATAAAATTCTCGTTCACAATGTTCGTTCCCATACACCTCCGAAACGGCTCGACCGATTCTTATGAATTTTTTCTATCTATCTTTCAATCCCCTAAATGTGGTGGTGGGTGGTCCACCCCTAAATTTTTAATTTTTACATAAATACATGATACAAAAATACATAATAAAAAAAATCAGTGGCGCTACAACCTCTTTAGGTCTACTACTATAATGAAACATCATAGAACATGTAAAAAACATAATTCTAACAATATCGTCGTGGGTATCTGTCCCAACTGCTATGTTTATACTGTGCATCTGGCAGATATCCAACTTGCCTTATTAAGCAACTTGCACGTTGACGAATTAATTTCGGAAGCGATTGTTTGGAAAGCATCAAACAATGAAAGAAATAATGAAATTAGTTCCTAAATAGAATACGAAATTAAATAGTGTTTAAAAAAATCAGTGGCTCTACCACCTCTTTAGGTATTGGCCTCAGATTTCTGAATCTGTTTCATGATCATTTTTAAATCTAATAGGTAAGTAGGTGATCAGCCTCCAGTGCCTGACACACGGCGTCGACTTTTTGGGTCTAAGACATGTCGGTTTCCTCACGATGTTTTCCTTCACCGTTCGAGCAAATGTTAAATGCGCATTTAGAGAGTCCATTGGTGCACAGCCGGGGATCGAAACTACGATCTCAGGTATGAGCGTCGCACGATGAAGCCACTTGATTTAAAAACGATTAAGAATCAGATTCAGAAATCTGAGGCCAAGACCTAAAGAGGTTGTAGCGCCACTGTTTTTTTTTTTAATCAAGCGTGAATTTTTTCAGAACCGAAACTTGAAACTTACGAAATAGGAACATCCAAAGACACAGTTTAAATACATACCTGCAAATGCCTGACAATATTAACCAGCTCTCTTGTGGAGTAAGGATACGTCAGCTGGCCCTGATCAGCCATGTTCCTCAATAAGGCGAAAGCTTGCACCAATTTCTTCATAACATCTTCGGGGACGTTTGGTCCATACGACCTCAGTAATTCTAACTCCGATTCTATTGACGGATTATCCACCGCGTGACACGAGAATAGATCCCCTAAAAGTTTTAAAATTGTTTAATTTATTATGCTATTGCATAGATTTTAAGCTATTGCATAGATTTTATCGCGTGCTTCAAGCGCGGCGACCGAATCAAGGAATTCCGTAACGAAAAAAACCTAACACACGATGACGTTATATAGGTGCGGCACATACGCGTTAGAGACAGAACACATACTGCGCATTCCCATCTCTCTGACGAGATCGGTGACGTAGCGTAAGCGCGGCCGGTGCAGCCGGTACGCGTTAGAGTGAGACAGACTATATAGGCGTTTTAGTCTGAGTCTGGTAGAGTAGTAGATTGAAATATTATCAAAGAAAAAACTTGAATTTATATCAAAGAAAAACAAATACTGCATTCAGTATTGTCTTTGATTAACATAACCTTTACACATTTAAAGAAAAAACTTTTTACCGGATTAAAGTTATGTATTATTATAAATTTACAATTATTTAACATAATTTTAAATTTATCCGACGTTTCGCGTGCTTTACAGCGTGCGTGATCACGGTGACTGAAGACAAAAGGTGTTGAATGTCAAAAATTATCACAGCTGTAGAGAAAGTTGCATTATCTGTATTTATTTCCCCGGAGTTGGTATCGACTAAAAGATAGAGGGTTGTGGCAAAAATGGCTCACGGTGTCCTCTATTTTCGCGGATTGTTTTTCTTTTTGAGATTTTAATTTGGATATTATTGGATCCCAGGTGTTTCGGATAAATTTAAAATTATGTTAAATAATTGTAAATTTATAATAATACATAACTTTAATCCGGTAAAAAGTTTTTTCTTTAAATACTGCATAAAAAAAAATAATTAAAAAACTGCATAAGTTGATAAAAAATGCAATGCAATAGCTTTGACGCGGCAGTCCCCGAGTGCCACACGTTTTTTTTAAATTATGAAACAATACGTAAGGTAAGAATGAGAGAACAAACAGACACAATGTCTTTAAAAACGAAATGAACGCCTATTGCCCTTATAGCTCTCTATTGTGTTAGTATTAAGTTACGGTAAAAATAGGAAAATAGGAAAATAAATAAATAGAAACTCACCAAGAGAAGCAAAGAAGTCGTTCCCCAAAAACGGAAAACCTGGTCTATTAGCCAACACTATCATCCTAAAGTCATCATGTACCGGAATGAAACTCGCCACGTCACCACCAGAGCTATCAATCATATCCTTCGGCACAATCCTCCTGCCATCACTCAAAATCATCTCCCCATTCTCCACCAAGGTCTTCAAGATGCACGTGACATGCGTGGGTGCCTTATCCGCTTCATCCACCACTAAGATATGTCCGTTCTTGACCGCCTTCACCAAGGGTGAGTCTTCGTATATGACAACCCCGTCTCGCACCGTCGGTTGCACGGTTAAGGACTGAACTGTGGTATCTCTGTGGAGCTGAATATACTCCCTTGGCCGATTTAGGAGCTGCAATAATCTATCAGCGATTTTATTCTTCCCCACACCTTGATTCCCTACTAGAAGTAAATGATTTCCCAGCAGGAAGTCTTGCAATAACCACTCCAATAGTCTCACGTGCTGTGGTACGTCGTAGAACAAAATGTCTGGTACTTTTGTTAGGGCGTCCGTTTTGTATACCTCGGTGGTTGTATCACCGATAGTGAGGACGCCATTTTGTGTTGAGCACTTCACTTTTTTTTCAGTAAACTTTCCGAAACGCTGCGGTTGTTCGATGCCTATCTTTTGACTGGCGCCATCTAGCGCTCGCCTCGCTAAGTTAGGGAGGAATTTAGCCAAAAATGTTCTTTGAATGGTTTCGTAGGGTGAATCTGTTGGGTAATGCGACATTCTACTCGCGATTCTTAGGAGTTGTCGAGTGGATAGTGAAGATGATAGATTACTTAGTGTTGTGTCATTTGAGTATCGTAGTTGGTCTGCTAAATCTATTATGGAATGTAGAGGTTGTGATATGTCTCCGTACTGAAAAATTAAAAGCCGACATTAACGCTCTCTCTAAATGTAATAGGAGGCAAACGGGCAGGCGGCTCATCTGATGTTAAGCGATACATGGACACTCACATTGCCAGAAGGCTCGCAAGTGCGTTGCAGGCCTTTTAAGAATTAAAGTAAATCAATGGCGCTACAACCTCCTTAGGTCTGGGCCTGAGATTTCTGAATCATGGTCATTTTTCAATGTAATGGGCAAGTAGGTGATCAGCCTCCAGTGCCTGACCGAGCCGTCGACTTTTTGGCTCTAAGACATGTCGGTTTGCTCACGATGTTTTCCTTCACCGTTCGAGCGAATGTGAAATGCGCACATAGAATGAAAGTCCATTGGTCAACAGCCGGGGCTGGGGGCTGATTAGCCACTAGGCCAACACTTCTCCCTTTTAAGAATTGGTACGCTCTTTTCTTGAAGGACCCTAAATCGAATTGGTACGGAAATACTTCAGTGGGCAGCTATTCTTTTCAAAGCAAGTGTATTCATGCAGATACAAAAGACCGTTTTCAATTTCAGAAAGCCAGAAATTTGAACGAAATATAGAGTATGGAGTTCGGATTAGTTATGTTTTTGAAGTTATACATCTTTAGGCGCGTTATGAAAAATTGATGAGAGTAAAATTTTACGATGCGCGCGCACCGTGACACAAAATTAACAGAATGAAGTTGCCCACGGAAGATGTTACGGCATTGGACATAATTTAAAAACGACATTCGAATAATAATATAATTTATCTTACACTTAATGTAAGAGAATAGTTATAAATATTTATTTAATTTTTCAAATGTAAACTGAACTTTATTAACTATAATGACTCCTTTTCCAGTCTTTGATTATTTAATTGTAATTAATTATTTGCATGCAATCAAAAACTATTTTTAATAATGCCAAAGAAGTATAACTCCTTACGCGCGTACATAAGTACGCGCACCCTTTTATTTGTTATAAAATTGCAAACCAAAATTGACATTGACAATTATCCCAATTACAGTAACCATAGGCGACTCTAATCAGTTTGCCGATTTTTAATGCACGTCAAACTAAAACTCAAAATAACTTAATTCGTATAGATAAACAAGTCACTTATGAATGTCAACAGAAAGGATGTTAAATCTTTATAAATATATAAATGTTATGTTGATTTGTGTACGCTTCAAAAACTCAAAAAGTTCAGCACCGAATCGAGCTGAAGTTTTAGCATGATATATAATCCGAATCAAGGATTGTTTTTATTTATTTTTTGCATCAGTCACATATCTGCGACCGCGAAAAATCAGTTTTTTTACTAACGGCTGTGTACCAGTGACCGCGAAACATACCAAGGAATTGATGATAAATATTTCTTCATTTTTGCTAAGATTTCTCATCTCGTGGAAGATGAAGAGACTGAGTATCTCCGGTGACAGCCAGTGAGGGCCACGACCGAGTACGGGTGGCTCTGCTAGTGCTACTATCCTGTAATCAAAATATTTTTTTTTATTATTTTGCCCACTGTTCTATAAAAAAATGTTATGAAAACCAGCCACACATAAGAAATTACCTAAAAGCAGGATGTATCCTCTTGACTCCACTTTCTTCTAATTGTTTAGGAGACATTCCTGATGCGACGAGCTCATCATATCTGTCATGACGGATCAGCCGAGTTCCATCGTGTAACTGCAATTCTCTATCGTGGACTAATCTGGAACATTATTTATTTATGAACACTTCGTAACAGATATACTATTAACATAATTAAATGAAAAGGAGGGCAACTGACGGCCTTATCGCTTTCGAGAGATCTCTTCCAGGCAACGCCTATGAGAAAAAAATTTCATAAGATAAGGAAGACGTGCAAAAAAAATAAAACAGATAGTTATTTAGACAAAACAAAGCAATTTAAACTTATGTGTACAGTGATTAGGACAATATTAAAATAAGAACAAAAAAGGACAACAAAAATTTGCACATGAATCACGATAATTTTAGATCAGTTTCACATCAGTTAGTTAAAGTTAGGGCTACGATGTGGACATGTCATGTTTGTACCTTACAATAATTTATTTCCAAAGTTGCCATATATTGATAATTGTCTACAAAAATAATAAATTTATAAAATACTTGGAAAAATTATTATAAAAAAATAAAATAATTTAATAACTTCTCCTTAATTCATTATTCTATAAAAACTAAAAGTGGTCCTTTTATGGCAAAGAAAAAACATTATAATTATTTAAACGAGCCGCCAACACACACGCGAGCCCTCTTGCATTGCGAGTGTCCATGAGCGTTATCACTTAACATCAGATGAGCCTTCCGCCCATTTGTTCTATAAAAAAATACATACCTCTTAATATTACACAATAAAAATATGCATTTTTTTATGTACGTTAATTTGCTTGTATCGAGTGATTGTTTTTTTAGTCCAAATAAAAAAAAAATTACCTATGCAAAACTGCGAGCGTACTAGCGTGTATTCTATGCAATCCGTCCAACACTGCTAATCGGCCTTTCAAAGCAGCTTCAACGAGGGCAGAGTTCCTCCACACAGTATCGCCATTTGCCAATGTAGTACGTTGTTGAATCAAATCTCTCGCCGTCATATCCTGGTATAGGACTATAGGCTCTATTGTATAACCTAATAAGGATGCGAGTTGGCTGATTAGAAGGCTTTTACCACAGCCTTTTGGTCCTGGAATTTAAGAATTTAAAAAAATACAGCGTGTATTAAGGTTTTCATAAATAGCTCAATTTACAATTAAGATTTTAATAATAATAGAAAGAAAAACCTTATGGAGAAGTCGTGAAAAATAAGAATCGAGTATGATAAAAGGACACTTTTCAATACTTGTGTACTACCTGTACTAGGATATGGATCTCAAACTATGGAGCATACTAAAGCGCAGCATACAAAACTACATATTATGTCAAAGATCGTTGGAACCATGATAAGGGAAGAAAATATAAAATAAAGAATACATCATTAAAAGAATAACTAAGGTTGCAGAGGTCACAATGAAAATAAATAAACTTAACTGTGAATGGGCAAGAGGAACAGAAAAATGGAGCAATAAAGTGGTAAACTGGTGCCCAAGGTACAATAAACGCAAAAGAGAAAGACTATTTACAGCAGGTGGATAGACCAGATTAAGGAAACAGCAGGTGGTACATGGCACACAAATACAGATCCCGGCAAACATCTTAAACAAATGTCCTTGCCTGCGCAGAAGCAATTTTTAGGTATCACTAGGGAGGGGGGAGAGTGACGTGTCGATCGCGAGATTGGTAAATCAATTGACGGTTGTGTCCCGCGATGCGCAAACTTTTCCCCACTCCCTTGTTAAATGCTCAAGAAGTTTGCCGATATCTGTATCAAAAAATAATGAGGTTTGAATTATTATTATAATATCCATTTTATCCATTACGCTTGCAGATAAAGGGATTTTTATTTTTTGTCCATTACCAAAAGGTAGCATTGAAAAAAAATTACGAGTGTTATTTTTCAGCCATAGCGAGATTCACTAATTTCACACTAATGCAGTTAATACTAAAAAATAATAACAAAATCCTTCATTAAATTGCGTTAATCTTAATTTCTTTTACAATCAATTAAAACTTACCAATAACACAAAAATCACCAGCACTATGACTCAAAAGTAGTTCGTTCAAAAGTCGACTCTGATACTCTGTTTTTACGATTCCTTTTTCTTCTCTCCTACTTCTACGGTCACCACAGGGCACGGCAAACTCGCTCTTATCACCATTAATTTCCATACTAACTAAAGCCTGTGTTTCCTTAACTTCTACACATTGTAAACTAATATTCCACTTTGGTTTCGTTTCTATGTAAAGATTATCTAATACTGTCTCAACGTTTTTAGCATGTTCTTTGGATATGAAGGTCTTGTATGGATATAAGAAGTATAGAAGTGTATGTGGAGGGATATTTGGGTTGTTTTTCTGAAAAAAAAAACATCATAACTAGCGGAACCAGCAGACGGTGTCCTATACATTGTCTTAAATACAATACAAGTCTTAAGTACATTGTCTTAAAAACTAAAAATAAATACATAAAATTAAAGATGTAATTAAATTATACATAATAGGAATGTATAATTAAGTTTGTTATGGAAGAGCTGGGAACCCTGACACAGGTATTTCTTACTTAAAATGGTTCCCAAATCTTACACATTGTAATGCATATGTACACTTGAGGCGTTCACTCTCGTTATTAGGTGATAGTAAAAAAAGGGTGCGTGTACTTATGTACGCGCGTAAGAAGTTATACTTCTTTGGCATTATTTAAAATAGTTTTTGATTGAATGCAAATAATTAATTACAATTAAATAATCAAAGACTGGAAAAGGAGTCATTATAGTCAATAAAGTTCAGTTTACATTAAAAATTAAATAAATAAATATTTATTATTATTCTCTTACATTAAGTGTAACATAAATTCTATTATTATTCGAATGTTGTTTTTAAATTATGTCCAATGCTGTAGCATCTTCCGTGGGCAACTTCATTCTGTTTTTGTGTCACGGTGCGCGCGCATCGTAAAATTTCACTCTCATCAATTTTTCATAACGCGCCTAAAGAAGTATAACTTCAAAAATGTTCTTGTATTTATTGCTGACTTCTTATTGTTTATTTTAATCTTTGTACGTGATTTTAAAGAACTCGTCAAAAATTCAAAAACATTGCCAAAATTTACTTATCGCGTATTAATTTACGCGATTATAAGTATACAGTCTACGTCATTTAAATTCACATACATTCTTAGATGCCCGTTTTTATTTGCAAACTAATATATATATTTTCTTATAGGTTTTAATTAAATTACATTTCCATTTCATGCTTAACCTGAACTCACACGATAATAGAATAGTCTCAAGGACACGTAGCAACACGCAACACATTAAATCTATCAAAAAGACAAATAAAAACCACTTCTTATTGATTTACTAACATTAAGAACAACGCAAAGTTATAAATTGCTATTTCTGATAATAGCCATACATTTATCATCCTGAACAACTTCTGATTAGAATTTGTTAGTGAATAGTATTAAAATAAGAGCAGTGTTAGCCTAGTGGCTTCAGCGTGCGACTCTCATACCTGAGGTCGTAGGTTCGATCCCCGGCTGTGCACCAATGAACTTTCTTTCTATGTGCGCATTTAACATTCGCTCGAACGGTGAAGGAAAACATCGTGAGGAAACCAACATGTCTTAGACCCAAAGAGTCGACGGCGTGTATCAGGCACTGGAGGCTGATCACCTACTTGCCTCTTAGATTTAAAAATAATCATGAAACAGGTTCAGAAATCTGAGGCCAAGACCTAAAGAGGTGGTAGCGCCACTGATTTTTTTTATTAAACTAAATACCAGAATTAAGGCTGCAGCATGAAGGTTGTCTATCGGGAAGTCTGGTAAACTGACTTCCTGTAATTCAGGACTGATGAGCGCATATGCAGCCGACATAACCTGTTCCAGCTTAGTTGTGTCTACACCAGGTACTTCTTCCTTTAATGTAGCTAAATGCTCCTGGAAATGGAATTATATTATTATTAATTATTGTACATTTTTAAGTGTTTGTAATAACCTTTTGCCTAAAGTTTGTAGTAGGAAAATTAATTGTCTCTAGAATTCTGTCTATAGAGAGATTCATCCAAATCTCATCATAATAATTATTAGCATATGACCAAGGACCAGCACCAGTATGTTGCACAGATCCCCGTTAACTAACGTTACTAGACTATCTAAAGTTAGTAATTCTTTTTTGGGGAAAGGGATACTCTTCTTTAATAAAATCCCAGAGGCTCTTTTATCACTGCCTTTCAATAAATTTAAGAAATGTATTAAAGAAAAGCTGTGTAAAAAGGCTTACTATAAAGTCAACGATTATCTAGTTGATAAAAGAGCCTGGGACTAGTGCTAGACAGGCTACTTCTAATTAATTTGCGATATTTGTTTTAAATAAGTGTTGTTTGATGATTTGCTGTTTTAAAAGAGTACCGAGAGTTTTTTACGCCGGCTTTTTCTCTCGGCCTACACCCTCTGTCTTCTTTGCCGATGAGTAGGGATGCCTTCAAATTTAATGACGTGGAATAAGTGATACATGTATCGAATGTTCCATAATAAACATTTTTTTTTTTTTAACGTTGCGATTAATAAATGCTGTATCCGAGACTATCGACTTCTTTATATGTTCGCAGAGTGAATTTACAGTAGCGATATTGTGTATCTTATGTATTTAATATTATACGTTTTATTATATTAATTTTTTCGACATTATCGTATTAGTTTAGTACTGTAGGGTTAATGTATGTATTATTGTGAAAAGATAAAAATAAATAACTAACTAACTAAGGCACACAGCGTAAATGCCATCAGAATTATAAGGTCTGTTAACTAAAGAAATAAATTGTACAATGTAAGATGTAATGGATTTGTAACTCCAGCTTTTCCTTTACCCGTGAAGAGGTTTCGATCAATGGTACTAAAGGATGTTAGGATACCGAGTTACAAAGCAACATTTGTAAAGTTTAGATATAAACCGACTTTATTATTATTATTATTACTAGCGACAACTAAATATTCGTTAATTGATCTAGCAATATTGTCAGATCGAAACCAAAAGTTTTTAAGGTTTTAAACCGATTTGACTTTGAAGTTGTTGAGCTCTGTGACATAATGACAATGGCAGCTGACAGTGACGCTATAAATAATAAGAACAAATTAGTTCTATATAAATCATAGATATGGGCAGGTTTTAAATAACATTTTACATTTCTCCTAAACTTTTTTAAAAAATTGACAAAAACACAACTTAACATTACGATCTAGTCTAACTGAAGATTATAAGTAATTTAAAAATAACCTAATTTACTATAAAAGATATTTCACATAACAAAGTGTCCAATAACACTACTTACAGTTAGTATACACTCTGTTCTTGTGTACTATATTTTACCCTACAATTAACATAAACTTTCCTAAAGGATAATTTTAGCGTTCGTGTGTTTTAATCATTACTCGTTAATGATGAAGGGAATGTTTGGTTTAATAACCGCGGGATAATTGCGGCTAAATTGTTTCCGTGCGCGATAATGAGTTGTTTGCATGATTTCTTAGCTTTGTAATTAAAAATTGTTTTAAAAGGAGGGTTTTCGTGTACAATTCTCATTCTTTTGAAGATAAATACAACGCACATAAGGCATGTAGGAAAATGACTATGATTAGAAAAGTAATTTTAATTTTCAAAATTATTTAATATCATTGTTTTTGTTAAATATACAAAAACTTAGTGCCATTATGCAAATTGAATATTTGAGTAGGATTCAAATTTCAAAATTTCCGTTTGTCCTCAATCTCTGAAATTAACAACTTTACTAAAATTCTGTGATTCGTCAAAACGCATTTCTAGATGTATAAAGGTAAATAATGTTGACAGAAAATCAATTTCAGTTGTCTAAATTACTTAATTACTCGGTAAATTTATCGATAATCAGCTTAAAACAGTTCCAAAAAAAATTATATCGTTCTTTACGACTTGTATGCCAAGTCGATTAAGTAATATTAAGGAGCACATGGCTTTGGATCCCTTAAAAAAATTAAAACTAAAAATTATTATTAAAAATTAAAACAGTGTTGGCCTAGTGGCTTCAGCGTGCGACTCTCATACCTGAGGTCGTAGGTTCGATCCCCGGCTGTGCAAAAATGGACTTTCTTTCTATGTGCGCATTTTACATTCCCTGGAACGGTGAAGGAAAACATCGTGAGGAAACCGAGATGTCTTAGACCCAAAAAGTCAACCGCGTGTGTCAGGAACAGGAGGCTGATCACCTACATGCCTATTAGATTGAAAAAAAAAAGATCATGAAACAGATTCAGACATCTGAGGCCAAGACCTAAAGAAGTTGTAGCGCCACTGATTTATTTTTATTTATATTAAAGTAACATAATATATATGCTGATTATTTTCATGACCTCCCACGGCAGTACATTTATTATTTAAAATATCTTAGATATGCAATAGCTATTTTCGTTTAATAATACATCTATTTTATAGAATGTGACGTAAATACTTTACGATCACGCATTAGTTCGAAGCGATAGCAGATATTTACCGCGAATTTATGACCGAAAACCTATACCCGTACACATTCAGGCCATAAACTACCCGACACAAAGCAAGATTGCGATCTTGAATACGAAACTAGTACAACTATTCAACGACAATAGATTTTCTATTCAGATTTGCATTAATAGCTGAGGTTTGTGAAACTAACCTTTTAGGATTTAGATTTAAAGGATAAACGTATATTGTTTATTCTTCTTCTACGTGGTCTTCGTAACTGAAGGTCTAGCATGTCTTGAAAAGCCCTAACCGGTTGACTTGCTGTCTCCACGCCACTCTATTATCAGCTGGTAATAGTGCATTACGGATGTTGAGAACCATAATTGTCTTTATTTGGTCAGACCAAGGGGTAGGCCATCGACTTCTCCTGCCATCACTCCTCCTTACCATTACCTATTGTTTTTTAGGTGAATGCTAATAATAATCTAATGACGTCAAACATCAACGTATACTTTATACCTTGCCCTCAGATTGCATTCTTTTTTTACAAGTACGCTTTCTTTGATACATGTGATGTGGGATTTCTCTGCATCTTCTACCACATTTGTTCGGCTTAATACCTGCAGCTGAGTTTCATCATCGGACGTCGAGGCAGAATACGAAATTCCACCCGTATCACCTCCACGTCCGTCGTTCTGACTGAGCGCTTTTATTAAGGCACTTTTTTGCCGGAAACCACCACTAATAACCTACTGCCCATTGAAGTATTTAAAGATAATAGCGTATCAATTTCTAAAACGCCGGCAACGCACTTGCGAGCCATCTGGCAGTGTGAGTATCCATGGCCGGCTCCTGCCCGTTAGAACCCTGCTCTGTATAAGGTGACAATTGCACACTTAAGCCAACAATATTTTTATATTGTACTAGCTGACTCGGCCAAGCGTTGCTGTGGCTAAGATTTTTGTTATATTACATAGTAGTAAACTATTCAAGGGAAACGGTAGGAGAACTTATGTGAAAGGTAGATGACAGCTTATGTGAAACGTTGATAATTTTAACACAGCGCCATCTGTTAGAATTGTATCAAATAATAAACAAATATTTTGCAACAAATTAAAATTGCGACTATAATTTGAGATTTAAACTATCCTATCTCTCAAGTTGGATCGAACTGCACATGGTGTGCAAATTTGATTGATATCGGTTCGGTAGTTTAGGAGTCCATTGAGGACAAACATTGTGACACGAGATTTATATATATTAAGATTATAACTTAACTAACATTATAAAATCATTTAAACTATAATTATAAAAAGGCCTCACTTTATTATACAACGCTAATGTTTTCTATTTTCGTATTTGCGTCTAATTTTCCACAAAGATGCTATCGCTAACTGAGCAAACTTCGAAAATCGGAAACTACTCATTTGGGCTCAATAAAACTTAATGTTCCGTGCGAAATAGCAGTTTGCTTTCCCAAATTTACGTAAAAGTTTACACTAGCTAAGTTTGTGGTAAGTTGCAGAGCTTTTAGAGCTTTTGATTTTCATTTTGGATCTATTTATAAACAGAGCTTTAATCTGTTTTATGTTATTATTAATATGCAAAGTAATGTAATGTATGTATTTGGAACGATTATTATACCCTGCGATTGTAACGTTAGTAATACACAGAAAGCAATGGAAATAAGCAAGCAAATCTGGCTGATCCGGCAAACGTCGTTTTGCCATGTATATTATTTATAATAAAAAATAGGGGTTGATCGTAGAGGGGTGAAAATTAGGGGTTGTATGTATTTTTTTATAAACAAAAAATACAAATTTAGGGGTGGACTACCCTTAACATTTATGGGGATGAAAAATAGATGTTGTCCAACTCTCAGACATACCCAATATGCACACAAAATTTCATGAGAATCGGTCAAGCCGTTTCGGAGGAGTTTAACCACAAACACCGCGACACGAGAATTTTATATATTAGATGATTTTATTACTCGCATTTACAATTAATTATTCAAAATTAAACTATCCCGACGTTTCGCGTGTGTCAACCCGTGGCCATTAGTGTAAAGCACGACAAATGGTAAATTCAATATGATACTTAGTTTTAAGTTTAAAGTATTAAAATCCGCTGAATTCAGCTTATTGCAATGGCAGAAAGAGACTCTGAGACAGAAGACTCCGTTGTCTGAATGTCTGATGAAAGACTTGAACAATGTGAGGAGTTCGTTCACTTGGGCTCCATGGTGAAAGGACCAGCCGAGAAAAGGCCAGTAGACGCATGATAACAAATCGCTGCTACTCTGCCCTTTAAGTTAATATTTCCGATCGCGACTTCTCAGAAACCAAGCTTGTTCTGTACAAAATCGGTTGCGACCAGTGTTTTATTATGGTTCTGAAAACTGGGCTCTTAGCTAGAAGAACGAACTTGCTCCCCGTATTTTACAGCGAAAGATTCTTCAAGAATTTTTAGTATTCGCTTCAATTAAGAACGATCCTTGACGACGTCAACATTGTCCCATTCATAAAATGTCACAGACTCGAATGGTTGGGACATGGCACAGATTGGCGGGCGACAAAACCCCGAGGTCCTTACTGAACTCACAACTTGATAGCAGAGAAAACCCGGTAGACTGAAGCTGCATTGGTGAGATGGAGTGTCAAAAAACTAGAAACAATAGGTGTTCGAAGTTGGAAGCAAAAAGCACGATTGTGATGGCGTCTATAGATACTTGCGGAGACTAAGGCCCATAAGGTGCTGATGGGGACAGCCATTGATGATGATGAGTTCAGCTTAGTAGCGATTTTAAATCATCAGTATTATTTTCCATTAAAAAAAAATCTTTATTTTCCATTAAAACTTATATTTAGCAGCGGGTACTTAAACTGGAAAAACGTGTCATAATCTTCCATCAGCACCATATTTCAAACATCAAGTAATTCTGAAGCTAAGCATAATAATGACCTACATTCGTTCCCAAAAACTTTGCGCGTCGCAAAATATTAATGGCCCATTAAATTCCCCTGTCGCAATAGCGTGCTCCCAAAAGGACGCCATTTTACGCTGGATTAAATTATACAACTTTAAACCTAATTTCAACACATGTTATTACTTTTACAAAGATATCTTATGAGTTGCCATTACTAAAGGTCGGCACACAATCTCCGAACTCTCGTCGTGTTCATTGGCTTAAAACAATTTATCCACTGACTTGACCTCTCTTTATTCTGGAGGTCCTACCAGGCTTGTGTTTACCAGAAATTTTAAGTTTATTAATTCATAATGACTTATGAACATGAATCAAATGGCTAGTCTAAATTCATAGGTACCCGTCCAAGAGCGTAGGGTGGAAGAAACCCTCCACAACACCAAGTTTTACAAGAAAAGAATTTATTAAAAAAATGTATACGATAGCAGTTAGCAAACTAATATTAAGTCAATTATGAGTCATCATCCCTAATGGCCTGAGAAGAACTGATGATAGGGCTCCCACACAAAACTGCGATGCGATGCGATGCGAATTTCTGCGATACGATTTAGTGCGGCAAACCATTTGGTTGGGCGACCATTCCTTCGTAGTCAGCCGTACTGGACGTGTTTTTAGGAAGCGTAAGATGGATCGCAAAAAGATTATTGCACTGCTATTATTGTTAAATAGATATAAAAGAAAAAGAAGATTCTGGGTTCATCCATTTATTACGATTATGAACTCTGATGCAAACTTTCACAGACGCTCTTCCACGCATCTTGCTTAATAAATTTATTTTTATAATGTTCATCACTTGTGTCCCAAAGGACGGGACGCTCCTCAATTAAAAGATTTTTCAAATCTATTGGGGCCGTTCAAGTATTACGTAAGCATTTTTATATTTGGTGATTACGTCAACAGTAATTATTTACTTTTTTACACATATTACCCACACATTGTCTATGCTTGAAAACGAAAAGCATTTTCAAGGATTCCTACAAAAAATTAAAAAATAATTAAAAATAAATAAATAAATATAAATCACTTTTACAATGTCTTCCTAAACTAGATGAAGTCGACATTTCCTAACTGACTGCCCTGAGAAGAAATGTCGAAACAAACTCGGGGGTCTTAGTCTCTTTTATAGTCCAGATAATACAATAATAAATTAATAAATTGGTGTAAACAAATGCAGAGTATTTACTGGACTGGTCTTTGGAAGAAAGAACCAGATCGATCTGAGCAAGCCTGTGCCAGCAGACGGCAAGCATGCCCCGAATAGCTCATGCAGCTCAACCATTTTTGAGGGAGCTGCACAACCCGGTACACAACAATACCGCCATTGCAGTAAATCTGCTTACGTAATACTTTAAGGGCCCCATTTATATTAAACATTGATAGTTTAATTTATCAGGCTGTGCACCATCTATGTGCGCTTGGGACACTCACTCGTTGAACGAAAACGTGAGGAAACCGGCATGCCTTAAAAAAAGTCAACGGCGTATGTTAGACACAGAAGGTAGTGACTTGTCTATTAGACCGTGACCATGAAACAGATATAGAAATCTGAGACCTACAAGAAGGTCTACCACAATTTTTTTTAGTTTGTCTAAGCGATACTTCTGCAGTTTTGGAGTCCATTACAAATGACCATATAAATAAATCTTAACAATATTCGTAGAATAAAGGAATCAGAAATCGACTTGAATCTAAAGGTGAGATTTAAAAACGAGATTTACACTTTGTCATTGTCAAAAAAAACTCAATGACAACTCAACTCAAACTGTCTGTATATGGTATTTTGACATACCGATGTCAAATTCGCGCGGAGTATCTCTTCTGAATCTCACCCTAGGACTGGTAGCAATGTACATATGTAATAGATATACTAAACGCATATACATAAGATTTTCTTTGAAGACGAAGTTGCAGTTACCAAACAAAGAAATCATAGTAAAGCTTTTGATTTCCGTCTAAATATCCGCATAAAAAGTCACAGCTACGAAAATAAATTCGTTCACTGAACTTATAATTGTCGTTTTCCTTTAAACTTAGTGCAAGCTTGCATGATCTAATCCAACTGTGAAATATAAGGTAAGACTTGCTATACAATGAGCGCAAATGTCGCAGAAAAAAATACCGTTCTAAGTTCAAATTAAATAAACCTCACTAATGTATAAAAAAATCGAATTAAATATACAGTGTGAACTCTATATAGCACCACTCAATGAACTGAGCTTATTTTGACGTTACAAAGAGTTGTATTTAAATGGAAAGAAGAAAAATCTGTATATATTCTTTAGCAAACTTCTCCGCCTTAGCCTCCACGATCAGCCCCAAAAATATTCTGAAATATTATTCTGGGGCTGTCGGAAAAGCGTGATGGTATAGCTTGAACCAAATCTTCGTGTTTAGGTTTCTTTAATTTTGGAAGATTTTCCATCGTCCTCTGTCTATAATTTTCCACATTGTGGACACGGTAGAGCGACTAAATCCAAAGCGTCTACCAACATAAATTATCTTCTCTCCAGCCTCTATTGCGCGTATCAGTAAAACTTTTTCGTTAATACACAGTAAATTTCACTTACTTGCCATGTTTACAGTTTAAAAGTATGTGAGCAACTAACTACTAAGAATATGATAACGTATAGCTATCCATGACTCCTACTAACAAGTCTGTCTACACTTGCAAAAAATCGAAATTTATAAAAAGGAACGAATTTCATAGAAAGTTCGGTGATAAAAGAAAAAAAATGTTATGAAATTTACTATTAAGTTTGGTATAAAAGAGTTGGGAACCCTGACACAGGTAGTAGGGCTCCCAAATATTCCACATTATAATGAATAGACACATATTAATCTTTTTATTCATTCAAAAAATACCATATTATATGGTAGCTTATTTATATATATTACTATACGATAGATGCTAATGCCAATACTTTTTACACATTTAGAATTTACTTTTGAAGTTTATTTTTAGTTTTAAGTATATATTTTTGAAAAAAAGGGTCTCATTGTACCATTAACTTTACGTGAATGATTACGACAAACCCAGGCGGGGTCGCAACGATCAGTTACATACCGCAAGGAATTCCGTACAGTCGTTTTATAAAAGAAACCTCACCGCGAAACTAAAAAACACGAGTTAATATTTTCAAAAGACTTTTATATATAAAAAATGCTTACAAAAATTATAGGATATAAGCCTTTGTTGACTGTAAGTTAATTTTATAAAAACCACTTAGTTTTCACGTTTCAATCTAATCGAGTAGTAAAAAAAATTAGAATAAATGAAAAAGCTCATTACATTAAGTAACATTAGGTACAAAAAATTCCATTCCCCCAATTGTGTGAAGGCTGAAACGCAATGTGTTGTCACGCTTCATATCAATTAATAGTAAAAGCAACAGGCAGCAATCAATTAAACCCGTTTACCTCATTAAAACTTCCAACTGAAATACCACAATAAACGATGTCGTTACCGAGTTCATTATTTTGCAGACAGATTTCCGCCTGATTAAATGTATTACTTTAAACTATGTTCAAATTCACAGGCACAAATCAATGTATCAAATAGAAATGGGTTCACTTCTTCGGTATCGCGTGTATAGATGCTGTTACAGCCGGGTGGTGTAATATGCCAGCGCTCTGGCAATCGTCTCAGCGACCTATGTACATTAGGACTGTGTGGGTTGACGGCTTCCGCCACGCGATACTAACCCACGACGATCCCTGCTACCTCAGATTGAGCGCAAAACGAAGGCCTTATTCAACGGCCAGCACGCAGAAGCATTCAAAATCACGAAACTCACGACTCAGTCATACCAACGACGAGCTAGAGGACTGCTTGAGAAAATTGCAGCTAGTAGTCACTAACGAAAATGTGGACGAATCTAGTGTAGAGAAACTACATCTATCAGACGTGAATGATTCTGAAGACGAGCTAAATCCAACACCACAACCGTTAACCGAAGCCGATACAGCTCAATTCGAAAACATGAAAGCTGTAAAAAGTAACCGCACAGCGAGAACCGATGTCAAAGAAGACACCGAACTGTGTGACAGAGTTCTACAATGGCTGGATTTAGCGGGAAAAGTTGAACTTCTAAAAGACGACAACGTTGAACGAATGGCCCAGCCACGGCACAGTTGGCCCGAAATTCAAAAACGTAATTTACTCAAATCGAAAACATCAGCGGATTTAAAAGCGAGAGAGCCGAAGCATACAGAGCAAAAAAGTGGCCCAATCGATAGACATATTTACGTGACAACAAATACGATCGAGAACTACGCACGACAGTCACGAAATGCAAAAACACGACAGGATTCCAAAGTGAGGGAGAGAAAGGTTAACGTGAAGGCAAACATCGCCGAAACTCGACTGAAAGTGGCAACCGAGAGAAATGCAGTGGAGAAACAGTATGCCGAATTAGTTAGTAAGAAATTAATACCGGACATTGGCAAAGTCAAAAAACAAGTACATATATTTATGCCCGAAGCTCTACCAAAGCGTAACGATTCGATCATAACGAACAGAACGCAAAGCCTACTTTCACAGAAATTTTAGTGAGACAGAAATTTTCCAATATCTTTTTCATTGTATGTAATTTGACATTTTTTAATTAAATTTTGTATATTGGTAGAAACAAAAAATTAAACTCTTTCGCGCATTGTTATCTAATATCAATGTTCACGATTCAAATGTTTTTTTGCAATATAATGTATTTCCTTTTTAGCAGTTTTAATCAATACCTACTACAATTATTTAACGCAAGGTAAAATTATGGGAACTGTATCAAACCAATACTCAAAACTAGTAATTTGTGTATTTATGTACGATTTAGCAAATATGTTTAACATACTTATTTTATATGTACATATACTAGTTGACCCGGCAAACGTCGTTCTGCCATGTATATTATTTCTAGGAACCATTTTTATCTATAATATAAAAATGAATCGCAAAATGTGTTGGTAAGCGCATAACTCAAAAACGCCTGGACCAATTTGGCCAATTCTTTTTTTATAATATTCCTTGAAGTACGAGGATGGTTCTTACGGAGAGAAAAATTTAAAAAATTGAGTGGAAAAAGTCTAAAAACAACACTTTTCTATATTCCCATACAAAATATTCGTAATAATACTTAAAAGTCAATTTGAACTTTAATACCATAATCCATATCATAAAGTTCAAGTGTTAGTGGAGGGGTTCCGGGAAGGTACATTTTTATTTTTTGACATAATGTATTTGTTGTCTTATCAACTTTCTTTTTTTTATCTTACTAGCTAGACCGGTGTCCCGAAAAGCAGAATAAGTATTAAAAAAAAATAAAGAATCGACTGTTAGGCGGTACGATGTTCGCCAGGCCAGCTAGTTGTTCAATAAAAATAAATATCTACTATGATATAAAATAGTGGTTTATCGTAGAGGGGTGACAATTAAGGGTTGTATGTATTTTTGTATGCTGTATCATAAAAAAAAAGCTAAAGGTTTTGTCTAAAATATAAAAATTTAGGGGTGGGACCACCCTTTAAATTTAGGGGGATGAAAAATAAATGTCCGACTCAGACTTACTGAATTAGCATTAAAAATTCATAAGAATCGGTCGAGCCGTTTCGGAGGAGTATGGGAACGAAAATTGTGACACGAGAATTTCATATATTACATTTAATTTATGCTATATCAAACCAACACTTCAGAATTCTTTTTTTACTTTTTTTATTCCACATAATACCTATTTTCAAGATTCAAACACAAAAATAATATATTACATAGTGCAACAGGACAGTCTTACCACTATTAAGGTATCTCTTCCAGGCAACACAAATATTTTTTTTGAGAACTGTAAAACTACATAAAACTACTTACCCCAAACCCAACTGTAGCAACATCTCTTCCCTGAAATCTTGACCTGAGTGGAGGATCAAGAGGCTGCCCCGTATACCGCGGTACGGGCAGTCCCAAGGCAATAACTCTAAAGTTTTCATCCACTCGAACCAAACGCCATTTTGATATTTCTTCAGGTCCGTGTTCCTATGTAATATAAATTAACATTAAATAAGTTTTTATTATAAACAAAATCTTTTTTGTTTATGGATGGGATTTTGAGTAGCTAATAACAATCAAGATTAATTGGTTTTTTTTATAATGCTGAACGGCTTATACACAATTCATTATATATTTATTTTTTTCCATATTTATTCATGAACCATAAGGTATATATACAAAATTATATACTTACAAACTATAATCTTGACTAAAAGTCCATTTCACAATAATCATATACTTTAATGAGCTTGGGAGCAATACATTACTAGACACTGAAAAATTACACCCACAGACTACTTACTACCGCTAAATAATGAGACTTAGTGTCTTCCTACATAAATCTACAACAAAATCACAAATGCAAATATAACACAAACATTTACTTGAAAGGAACTCGCACAAAAAAGTAAATGTGTACATAATTAGAAAACATTAAATTATATACATAAATAAAGTTGTTTTCCAAATAAACTATATATGTACTTAGATATTTTGATACCATATTTTCCAGTAGTTTTTCTTTTTATACCATGATACATGCTGCAAAATAAAATTACAGTTTAAAAAAAATTCTTACCTCTAGTAATTTATCATATCTTGATGATGGTATTAAAAATCTGCCATCCTCAAGATGCATTTCTCTGTTTTCTAGTAAATTATTTAAGACTGGCAAAACATTTCTTTCAGCTTTCTCTATGCCTTCTATAACAAGAATTCTTCCTTCGGTAGCTGCACGGACAGCACTCTGATGAGCAAAAAAGCTGTATGATTAATGTTGTTTGTAGCTCAGCTCAGTTTACAAAAAATTTACGAAGTGACATCATTTTCAAATCAGAAGGTGATGCACAACTCACAAGTATATTAAGTGAGGAAATGAATTAAAAAAAGTGGTTGCCTGGAAGAGATCGCTCGAAAGCGATAAGGCCACCAGTTGCCCTCCTTTACATTTTATTATGTTACATTTTTATATTGTAATGCAACAAAGTGTAAATAAATAAAAGGAAGAATTAATAATAAAAGTACACCAAATAAGATCTAATAACTACCTGATCAAAATATTTAGCAGTTGAATTTTGAATTTCCCTTCTTTGTTTCAGATCAGCTTCTGTTGTGTCTCTTGAGAGGGCCACATATTCCAACTCTCTCTGTGTTAACTCCAAGTACTGCATTGCTACTTTTCGTCTAAAAATAAACAATTAAGTTAAAAATCTCTCACAATTCCGTTGATAATTTTATTAGAAATGATTCAAAGCTCGAAGGTTAACTCAAATTTTTATATAAACATTTTTGTAGTACAAAAACAACAGTTGTGTATTTTGTGTAATTTTTAATATAATTATTTACTCTACAACAGCAGCTTGAACTTTTGTTTATTATCAATACTATTGAAAGATGGTATGGTAACCATCTAAAGATGATGTATGTAGAGTTCCATTATTATAAATTTAGACTGCCTGAAAAATGTTTACCTGCTGGGTCCAGGTCGTCCCAAAAGAAACATGTCCTGACCGAGTAAATCTTTTTGCATCATCCATCTTAGGTTCCGTAGAGCGCTTTGTGATAGATTTCTTAATTCAGAACTCTCTACAGTCACTGAAATCAATAACAGCAATATTATTTTAATTTATATAAAAGTCAGGTTTATAGAAAAATCAGAAAATAGATTAAGTTTCCATAAAATTTATAATCTAACATAAGTGTCAGAGGTTAGGGGAAATATTTTATTAATCTTAAACTTGAAAATAAGTTTAATAATAACAGATGTTTTTAGTACCCAAAACTTGCTACTTACAATACTTCCTAGGTACATATTCTATTTTTTTAGGCGATCTAATCTCTTTACTAACATTTCCTATAGTCACTTTTCCTTCGTCCGAGTAAGCGCGCACAAAATTTGGTTGCAATTTATGAGTTTTACGACCATTTAATATACGAATCAAAACATCTATTCTTCGCACAGTAACTGCCGGATTAAATACCATTTTTAAATTGAAATTGACCGAAAATAATATATTAATGATTTCTATTAATTTCTTTTCTCACATGATTTAAACTTGAAAGATAATTATTAGGTATAAAATTATTATTTTAATGATAAAAACATTTCCGCAAGTCCAAAGTTTACTTTTTGTATGACAACTGACAACTACTTATGACAAATGATATACCAGTTTGGCGGTTATAATTTTCGCGTTTTATATACAATCTGTGTTTTATCTAGAAATGTAGGCGAACAAATAATATCAATTTAGGCCTTACGAGTATTATTTTTAGATCAATTCACGCACAACAACACAACTTTTCAAATTAAGTTACTGAGATAACATTTAAGCTTAAGAGATATTATTTTTATGAGGCCGGATTAACCCGGAAGTTACGCTACAACTTTGGCTTTAGTTCTTAGTATGCAGGCTTTAAATACAGTTAAAAATAAGAAAAAAAATCATTTTATGAAAGGAAATTAAATATAATGATATGATAATTGTAAACAGAGTAATACTCTATTTATAGAAATTGTAAGATATGTGTTGACACAATTGTTAAGGATAAATAAAAAAAAATATTTTTCACATACATATATATCTCTATTTTTTAACTTACTATGTATATGAATTTTTATACAGTAGATCTGATAACATAAAACGTTCTTATGTTATAAGTTTTAATAACTTAATAATTGATTTACACCAATGGTAATACTCATATGTAGTACACATGTACACAATTAATCTTACTTATATGCGATTTCTAAAAATGCCTTTACTTTTATTTTAATATATAAATTCTAATTATTCTCTTGAGGTTCTTCCTCGACTGGTTCAATCTTAACACTAACAAAGTCAGTAGGTTCCAGATCGTATTCTGGATCAACCACCTCTTCCTTACACACCACTTGCGTGAAATGTGGTTTCTCTTTTGGAGTTTCAGTCTCTTTCTCTGGCTCCTTATCATCTTCTGACATCTGGTCAGCTTCTTCAGTATCATCAGTGTTTTGATCGAGATTCTCAGCTAATTTCAGTCTCTTTGTGAATGTTACAAAGTCTCCAACTACATTTGGAGAGTCTTTCTTTGGAGGTCCAAAAATTCTGGTCATAGTAGTCTCATCTATCTTCAGATTGCATTCTCTAGGCTCCAATTTTGAATAATACTCCTTAATGTTGACTTCGGCAGCATTTAAACCGTGACGTTTGCGAAGGTGTTTCACAATAGTGCGACGGACCATGTACGATTTCTTGCAGCACTTACACTGTAAAAGAAGTATATAAACATATGACAAAATTGAAAGTTTATAAATTTTGTAAATATATAAATGAAATTAATTATATTAGTTCTGACCACCCCACCAATGTCAACCCCTCAACTCTTTCTGCACAGACCCTTATAAAGATTTTGGCTAATAGACTTGTATCCGGGTCAAACATAAAAATATATTGTATTTAATAAACACTTACTTTAAATGTATTAAGGCTGCTATGTGTCAAAACGTGGTACCGTAGTGCGGCCATACTCGACACCAGTTTGGGGCAAAGGGGACATGTCAATTGCCTGTTACCGTGTATTGTACGCATATGCCGTAACATGTATCGCTCATCGTGGTATTTTTTATCTAAAAATAAATAATTTTTATACAAATCAAGAACTTGAAATGTAGTTAGATTGTAATCTATCTCTTGAGATTGTGAACTGTCGAAAGATTGTGAACTCAACGTACTGCTTACAATTTAACGTATTATTGTAAGCAGTGCGTTGAGGTTCACATCTTCCGACAGTTTACAATCTCGCGAGATAGATTACAATCTAACGGTGTTTACAATGTTACGGTGACATATACACGTTATTTTTAATTTATAAATATGTAATAAAAAGTATAAAATTTTTTGTTTGTTTATAAATCTTTAAATATTAACTGATTATTGGATATGATATGAATAGAACTAGAGAAAAAAAATCATTATCTTACCACATACGAGGCATTTGACTTTAGTATTTTTCGCCGCATGAGTCTTCATATGCTCCCGAAGTGAACAAGCACTAGTAAACAACTTTGAGCAAACTGTACATGTCTCCAAATCTATAAAAAAATATACATTATTTAATTATGTTTTTAATGGCATGTGAATCTTAGGCCGGCTACTCACTTGCGATCGTTCTGACAATGTGACTGTCTATGAGCGGTGGTATCATTTAACACCATGCGCGTTGGTATAATAAAGAGTAAAAAAATAAACAGTTAGCAGGAACCATAGACAAATTGCGTTAGGGCAAGCATGACCTTATTGTGACGCGATAAATTTACTTTTCTTGTCACGTGATAAATCTATGTATTAATTATCAATATACGAAGAATATAATAAAAAATTGGAAAATAACCATTTTTTGTCTGGTTTGTGACGTTTTGCTTTGCCATTGCTTTAAGCCTATAACATTTGATAGCTTTATTTAAAATTCGAATAATAAATAATTAATTATCGTCAATTAAATTATTTCTATATAGCTGGTCTGGCCATAAATAAGAATTTTTCTTTTTTTCAACTTTTTTATTATTTTGAATTTGGAACACGTATATTATTTTTAAAACTTTTTTAGATTTTGCGATTTCGTGTTAATTATCAAATTACAATATGAAATAGGGTTGTTAAAGAAAATAGGATTGCAGTGATCGCCTTGCACAAAGCCATCAAACAAAAAAATATTCTATTCAAATAAATATGTAGGTTTAAATTTTAATTATTATACATTACTTCATTAAAAAAATGCATTTTCATGTGTAGCAGAACTTATGGTTGGACTAGGTATATTAAGTTATGTACAACTATTAAGAAAAAAATTTTCTGAACGTTGCTAGAAATTCCAGGTAAGAACTTACTTTCTCCCGTATGTCTGCGTATGTGATAGGTAAGTTTGGACTTTTGTAGGAATGTCTGACCACAATACAGGCAAACGTAAGATCTATCCTTAGAATGTGTTCTGAAAATAAAAAAAATAAATCAGCCTTAAAAAAAAAATTATTATTATTTTTTATGGCATTATAGCGAAACTTCTCTATTGTTAAAATTTACAGGCATAATAAATCACTTAGAGATTTTGAACGAAACGTAAAAACTCGCATTACTGTAAACCTTTATTTTTTTTTCCTTTTTAATTATTAATTCCTGTAATAAACAAGTAGGTCTGTGCTTGACATATTATATAGATTTTTGGGAGAAATGCCGGTTTCAACAATGTCCGTCGAGGTAATTCCGAACCAATACGACTAAAGGCCCATTTACACGATGCCATTTTCTTGCCTGTAGCATACAATTATATCAACGCAATAAATTAATTGCATAGTCTAAACAAAACGTAACATTCTTGATCAATGGGAAAAGTTTCCTTTCAAAACTATTATTGATGTAAACAGCACGTACAATAATTTCTTACGCAATTCTTGTACGCAATTATCTCTTCATTTGCAAACATGAGTGCAGTGAGTGAGGGTGTGTTAAATTTAATTAAATAAATTAAATTTTTTATTTTGTTTGTTATTTCCTTCAGTCCGAAACCGTCAACTTCAAATTCCTGCTAGCGCAGCATTACGTGCATTGGTTCTTATAATTTACATTTTCGGTATCCCATAAACACTCATGACTGCGATAAATCTCAATGAACTTTATTATATCAGCAGAACTGAATTTAAACACCTTTTTACTCATATTCATACCTCTCTGTTGGATGGTTCTAATCTTTTAAGAAGACTGAGCTCTGGTGGTAAGGGTCTATTTTAAAAAAAACAATAATTTATGTTTATAAAGAGCCAAAGATGTTACACTATCTGCGTCTAGAATAGAAGTACTAAAAACAAAAAACAGAAACTATCTTTTTATATAAAATTCAAACAGGTATTCTTTATATTCTAAACTAAAACTTTTTCTTTACATGTGACAAATGTTACCTGCCTTTATTACATTAATATTTACATATTCAAACTCCAATACTCTTCTAAAATATTTAAGACTTGAATGAAAAATTTGTCAATGCAAATACGTGCAATACTTGCACGAAAGCGCCATTAAATGGTATACGCACGTACAAGCCTGTGTTTAGACAAGTCAAAACTTGAAAGCAATAATCTCCTTAAAATAGTTGCATTGGTGTAAACAAAGGCATGTGCAATTATTTCCTTGTCAATACTTGAATACAATAATTGCATTCAAGTTTTCAAGTGTAAACAGTTGCATACAATTCTTGAACGGCAATTATTGCGCTTCATTTATTGCATTCAATTATTGCTCTGGTATGTACAAGAAAATGGCATCATGTAAATGGGCCTTTAGGGTCCTTCAAGAAAAGAGCGTACCAATTCTTAAAAGGCAGGCAACGCACTCGCGAGCCCTCATGCATTGTGTGGCCTCTGGCTTGTGGAATCATTTAACCATCCATTATTGCTCAGCCGTTTTACTAGACAAAGAACAAAATGACCATTATTACCTAAAGCCCCTTGCCTTGTTCCTTACTAACCTGGAATGTGACGTACAAGCCCCCTTATCGGCAAAAGTCTTAGGACAATGCGGGCACGTGTACGGCCTCTCGCCCGTGTGACGTCGCTCGTGACGTAACATGTTCGAGCGTTGCACGAACCGCATCGGACAGTACGAGCACGCGTGACGCGGGCCTTCGTGGATTTGTACGTGCTCGCGGAATGAGTCTTTCTTCTGCAATTTATAAAAGATTTTATGGAAGAGATAAAACCTGGATAAAAAATTTAAAAAAAAAAAGGTTTATTATGGAACATAAGATACAGGTATCACTTATTCCATGTCATTAAATTTGAATTTGTAGGCATCCCTACTCATCGGCAAAGAAGAGGGTGTAGGGCGAGAGAAAAAGCGGGCGAAAAAAACTCTCGGTACTCTTTTAAAATAGCAAATCATCAAACAACACTTATTTTAAAACAAATATCGCAAATTAATTAGAAGTAGCCTGTCTAGAACTAGTCCCAGGCCCTTTTATCAACTAGATAATCGTTAACTTAAATATTTCTAGGCCTGATGTCAAATTGGGAGGTCAGTTAATGGAATAATGCAAGTATTTCGATATAAGCAACAGCATTATTTTCTATTAAAAGAGCTAGTCGATGTATTTCTTAGGGTAGGAAATTAAACACTCCACTCCACTGATATTGCATAAACTGTTTAAGTTCAAAGTTAAACAAAGGAATTGCCCGTGCGCATGTGCCACGACGACTCTACGAAATTTTAATTTTAAAAATATAATTTATATAAGGTAATTCGCCCTTCTCACTCTCTCTCAATCGGTCTCAATCGCTCTCTCCCTTTTGTTGTGGAACCAGCTGCCCACTGAAGTATTTCCGAACCAATTCGACTTAGGGTCCTTCGAGAAAAGAGCGTACAAATTCTTGAAAGGCCGGCAACGCACTTGCGAGCCTTCTGGCAGTGTGAGTGTCCATGGGCGCCGGTATTACTTAACATCAGGTGAGCCCCTGCCCGTTTGCCTCCCATTACATTAAAAAAAAAAAAAAACGTTTCCGTAAAAATTTACCATCACTAAAGAAGTTTCACTTCAAAAAAATCGTAAGTTGATACATACGGCAAATATTTTTCCGCAATAATCACACGTGTAACTTTGCTTGTTGGGTTGGTGGTCCTGCTTGTGCATGTACAACGATGACTTGTATTGGAAAGACTTCCCGCACTCCGAACATTCGAAGGGATGACGACCAGGGTGCCGAAGTAGGTAGTGGAGTTTCCTGAAAATTACGATTGAAAATCAGTAAAATGTTAACTGCCACATGTTAATGTTTTAATGCAAAAGTAGCGCTATTGTGTTACTTATTGTTACGAAGGTGGGTTGACCGAAACTTTTCTCGATTTTTCCACCAGTTAGAGACATTTTGAATGCTGAAACGTGGTTTCGGAAAGGAGAGGGTCCTGAAACGGTCTCAATCCACTATTAGAATATTGTAATTTGCATAATGTTTCCCTCGTTTTCAGGAGGCTGAAATATTTTTTCAGACTGTTTCAGAGCAAGTGTAATCGAGTGGTACACTTTTCAGGAAACCCAGTTTCCAAACACAAAACAATTTATATATATATATATATATATATATATACATATATATTTTAAATATAAATGATAATATAATCATTTATTGTATTATTGATACATAGATTAATTTGTAATTTAAAATCTTATCATTATGATCAAAATTTTTCTCCTAATCTCCAAAAGTTAAATGGCATTTCATTCATAAAAGACCGGCACCGCACTTGCGAGCCTTCTGGCGTTGTAAGTGCTCATGGCGGTATCATTTAATAACAAATGAGCCTCCTATTTTAGATAAATAAAGTGGTTATCAGGGACCATAGACAAATTGCTTTAGGGCAAACGTGACCCGATTGAAAATGTGTGGGAATAACGGTATAATACATAGAATGAATTGTTAATTGGAATCTTATTATTATCTGTAATTTTTCTATAATAATATTCTGAAAAAAAAAAACCCAGACTCTTAATCAGTACATAACCAAACACTGCTCTCTGTCAGATCACCGGGAGTCCATTTCATATTTATATTTTTATTATTAATATAAATCAGTTCATACCGTTCATCCGCAGTCTGTAACAGATCTTTGCACAGTTTGCACTTGAACTTGCCAGCCGTGCCATGAGCAGCCGTAATATGGGTATTGCAGGATCTAGAGTTTGGAAATCGTCGCTGACACACATGACAGCTGAATACTTTCGGTTTCTGATCACGATTCGTTGAATGTACCGTCTGAAAATAAATAGAATCAATGTTATATTGACAACATGCATTTAGTTGAAGACTAAAACAAGGCCATTAACAATTTGACAAACTCGTTGTAATAGGGGATCAAAAATAAAATCTTTATAAAAAAAGAGACCAGTAGATCCCAATCCAGTAAAATTAGATATATAAGGTAAATTGACATAATCCTCATAAACCAATAGACAATTTCAGAAAATTTGGACAATGTGTCCAAAAAGCCTAGTCTACCTATAAATAAAAAAAAAATCATAGATTTAGAGATTAACAGCAGTGGTAAACATTTATTTTCATACACATTACACTCACTCTTACTCATTCTCACATGCACCCTTACTCATGTATTCACAAATTAGGTGGTTTTGTAAACAATTAAAAAAAAAAAGTTGTCATTTAAAAAAAATATTAACACCCTGACACTGGTATTTTATACTTAAAAGGATTCCCAAATAACAAATAAACACATTTTATATTTTGTTTATTAGTGGTAAATTATTGTTCTACACCTAATTGAATGCCAAGGGTAGCACAGAGACAAATCTTTACCTTAACATGAACCTTTAAAGATTTCTTCTGACTTAAGGGCCGGTATACACAAGTATCAAGTGAGCAATATAACTTCTTAGCCTCAGGGTGATATTCCTCGAAATGGTTCCTCATGTCCTCAATATTAGAAATAACAAGGCAACACAAACAACACTTCAATAAATAGGTTGCTCTGGTCTGCTCATTTATATGCTTTTGTATGTAATGGTATACAAACCACACCTAAAAATAAACATTCAGTCTTAAACCATTTCTTATTATATAGTTTATACCAATAAATATAAAAAAAAATAACCAATATTCATAAACTAGATCAGTTTAATTGCTACTTTTTATAGAATGAGCCTACGGAACAAAAAGGGCTGTCATCACAACCTATTTTTAGTGGGTGCATTTCCGGCCTTTAGGTTGCTGTTAACTCACAAACTCTTTTGTCTATTTTTGTCAGATTGTGTTTACTCTGTGATATGAATGCAATTGTTGATTTAGATTATTTAAGGGGTAAAATTTTAATCATTGGAATTATTATATTATTATTTTTAGGATTTACTGAGCTTTAGAAGTAAGAATATACTGAGAATCATAATTTTATACTACAGGTAAGTTTGTTAATAGAAGGGACTTTTTTTAAATTTGTGTAAGTTCATGATTATAGTCTACCAAGCAAGAAAACTTGTTGCTCTAACATTACTTAAAAATACCATAACATACCTTATCCCCAAAAATTAATGAACAATCCTCACACTTATAAAAACTTTCTTTATATTTTTCAAAATGTGAATTAATCTGGTGTAGTTCTCTGTCTTGTTCATTCCAGAATAACATTGGACATAGCCTGCATTTAAAACCAAGATGTGGGCTAAAGCAATTTTCAAACTCTAACTGGTCCCAATGATCAGTCAGATGCTGTCTAGTCAGCTCCCTATTATTAAATTCCTTGTCACAAAACTGACATATCCACAGATCTTCAAAATCACCCAACTCTTGAAGAGTATGTGCTATTAATGCATAATTTGTGTCAAACGATGCTAAACATACCCTACAGGAGTATAACTGCTCAGTTTTTACAGAATGCATCTTTGTCATGTGCACGGTAAATGTTGGTGCATCTTCAAAAATCACTTTACATAATTTGCATTCTAAGTCAGTAAAATCTGATTTGCAACCATAATCTACACTTGAAAAGTCTGGTACCACTCCCTCGTCTATATTTTTATAAACTTTTGAGATATAGTCAAAATAAGCATTATCTAATAGGAGAATTTCTGTTAAGGTGATATCGAAATCTATTTCTCCACGATAGTCAATACTCTCTTCATTTTGACTTTCATTTAAGCTTTCACTTTGGTTTTCACCCTTACTAGCTTCTTCAAGGACTTTAATATCTTCATCATCACTGTGTGCTTCCGTTTTTATTTCTGGTACAAGATCAGATAACTGGATTTGTGTATCTTCTACCTCATCATTTTGTTGTGGCATTGGTGCTTCCAAATCGACATAACCAAATCTTGTTTGACCACTTAACTCGGAATCCAGAAATTGTGAACTTATGTCAACACCTTTTACAGTAAATGGTGGATCTTTCCCAGATACTAAGCTAGCGAGGCATTTAAGTGTAAAGTGATGGTAGCCCATGTAATGGCTGAAAAAGGCAGTCAAGAGATTTTCTGTCTTTGAACATAGAACACAGGAAAAAATAGCATCATCTGGGTCCAATTCCCACAAGGTTCCGTAAACGCTTGACCCATTAGTAACATTATGCTTTTGAAGGAGATGGGCATCATAATTAGTATCTGCTGAAACTCTAAAATGGCAAAGTCGACAGTGTACAAGATTGTGTTCACTTCTTAAATGGTCACGCAATAAATCTTCACTTTGAAATGATGATACACATTGTGAACATGGCCAAGGGACATGAAACTTTTCATGTTCTATCCAAGATTGTCGATCTGGTACAAAATATCTGTAAACCAAATTTAAAACAGATAAAAATCATAATAGTAGTTTGTATATAGATGTGGGACCCACTTCCTATCACTCTTATTTAAAAATATTTTCTGAAGTAAATGATATGTCTCTTATGTTATACATAAAACACCAATAAATGCTTAAATATGCACATTCAGTATTAGTTACATCCAAAATAGGTAGAATTCACAACTATAATTTAAATTCATCAATCAACAAACTAACAACTCAATTATTTGTCTCAATATTGTTTTTTCTTCCTTTACCTTCACTGTCCAGTATGAGATAAAGCTAGATTTTGTCCAGCTTTATCTGATTCTTGACAATATCTATAATCAAACCATGAAAAAACTATCATGTATGTCTTGTGTACTAACCTGCATATGCCACAAAAATCCTTCTTATGATTCAGGACATAGTGCAAAATAACTTTTGGTCTGTTTATAAACCAATCTGGGCATAATAAACAACTAAATGGGCCAGTAGTATTAAAATCTTTTAAATATAGCCATACATCCAAAGGTCTCTGCACAACAATTGGTGTCGCAGAAGAATTACGGTTTAATTTTGTTTTTAAGGCAATATTTTTTATTAGCCCGATCTTAGTGTCTTCTTCACATTCCCCTTCGTTTAAAATAGTAGCTGGATTCAACTTCTTCGCTGCCAAAACAGACAGTGGCTCATCGTCGGATTCGTCAGAATCTAACATTCTTGTGGCTTTTATAACAGCACTATGAACCTATTATCTTCGAAATGAATCTCATAACATCTAATGATTCTAATCAGGGTATAAAGAAATTGCCACTACGATCAAATTTATAATAAAAACTTTTATCCATTTGTGTTTCTCGTTTGTATTCAGTGATGCCAACAAAATTTTCCCCCTAGAAATTAGAACCCACTTCAAATATGTTTTTTAGTTTTTTATGTTTATATTTGGTTTAGTTTGTTGGTTGCGTTCTAGACTAAATATAAATTGTATAGAATTGTGTTTCAAAAAAATAAAAATCTCGTATAAATGTTCTTCCTAAAAACCAAGACATTTTGACAAGATTTCCCCTAAATTTGGGGGCAAAAGCTCCAAGTTGACATCACTGTTTTTTTTTTTATAAATAGCTTCACGAAGAGCGTATTTCCACAGAAAACGGAATAGTAAAGAATAAGCATTTTACATTGAACGAAATTACATCGGATAAGAATAGGATCAGCAGGTTATAAAACTATCTTTAATACAAAATACTACATTATGGAAAGGAACAGTAATTAATAAAATATTTCATATAGAATACGATTTATATATATGTGTATTTATAATTTTATTGTATATACATTACGATTTAAAGATGAAAGCAGAACAGGAACAGATGTAGGTAATGGGATACTGGAAGAAGGATGAGGATGATCGAATAACAAGGAGTGGTTAATATTCAGCCCACACACACACATTTCATTATCAATAATATGAAATATGGAAAGGTACACTCATGGCCCAATCTCATACGAATGAGAAACGATGTTTCCTTTTTATTAAATTTCATTTAAAAAAAACCATGGCTTCAGTGGTATTGTGGGCTGTATAGATGAAAAATTTTTACCCTTAATTAAACTGCTCTGAATTCAAAGGTCAGTCGAAGAAAAGGAGCAGGAGATGAGGCCAAATCATGATAATAATTTTTATACGAAATAGCATCGCCATCCTTAACAGCTTCATTTGCTGACATTACTGTTTCTATAAGCTTTTGGATAAGGAATGTGACAATTTCATGAAATCCTTTTAAGATCCGAGCGCGGGAATACGATCCTATAAATTTTCGGATCTATACGAATTATAAGTATTAATCGAAAAAGTGGATTGATTACACTCATTACATTATGGTAAATTTAAGTGGGATATGGAACTTTAGTACCTTGGTTTTTCTGTATTTTAATATTTTTGTTATTTTTATTTAGTTAATCATTGGTTTACTATTTGTTAAAATCAATAAGCTATTTATTTATTAATTTCAATCAATTTCAAAAATTCTTTATTTTGTTTCACAAAAATGTATAGTGCTACACTGTACACTGGATAACATTATTGATTTATTTATTAAAAGCCTAAAAATTTAAGATTAGTCTGTACACATTTTATTTTTATCACAATTGTAAAATTAATGATTTTTTTTTATTTAATTCGTTATTTAATACAGAAGTAAATGTAATATAAAATATAGTAATATTTAAATGTTTTCGAAAATTGTCGGATATATCTTTTGAAAATCGGATCGCATGGTTTAACAGTGTAGCTATAGAATACAGATTAAAACATTAAACCATAGAATTATTAATCAATTTATTGAGTTTTTTTTTATACAACCGTTTATACAAAGTCTTGACGCGACTTTTAATTACTTCTTCTACTTTCATTAAATACTTACATTTACAATAAATGGTGGAAATCTCTTTTGTGGATACGTAGCTTTTTAGTTTTAAATTAATGCAACCTGACGATAAGTATTTACTATAGTTTTAATTATTTTTTACCATCTAAGTTTTTGACATATAAACACTCCACAGACTAAAATAATGCCTAATCATTAAAAATATTAAAAAATAGAAACTTTTTCACAACCCAAAAATAGAATTTTTTTATATGCAGACACAAATAGTTATTGACTTATTGTTAGAATTAATTTATTACATTTTAGGGAAAAATTAATTGATTCGAAATGTGAATCTTTTTATTTCGAATGTGACAATGTCTATGCAAATTAATACAATATAGAATATAGCTAAAAAGGTCGTAGGCATCGTGACAGCTATTAATAGCTATATGTTACATACTAATAATACTTATTTACTTCAATTACCAATGAATTTTTTTTTATAGCATTTTGTTGTTCGTGGTTCGTTGAATTTTTTGTGAGGAATGGAACGTTTTGCAAAAATATCTTGTCGCGGTGGCCATTTTATAGAAACGAAGTTGTCTATGGCAAATCCAAAGAAAGGTGAAGCTAAACAAAAGGCTAGAATGTAGATAACATTTACTAAATTATTAGTTAAATAATAAATAAATTTAACTACCAATGCATAAATTTAATCCACAATTTAATTAATATCAATGTTTAGCATACAGTGATATAAGATATCTGCGAAAGATGAAGTTCAAATGCATCGTGTAATGGTGGCCATTATAAGCAATAATAATTATGGATATTGTTGGTGTACTACTTGCCAAATAACTGACTAAGAGTTAAGTGTCGTGCATTTAATTTTTGGAAGATCAAACAACATGTAAATATACAATTTCGCGGCGTTGTGTAAGTGATTATAGTTCAGTGTAAATAGTCTCCTTACGATGGCCCAGAATCAAGGGGAGATTCAGGTCACACCGAATCAACCCGTTAATAAAGACAAGGATATTTATGCTTGCCTACCTGATATAACCAATGGTCCTTTGGGACCAGATGAACCGTGTCCTGGTGGTGAAGAATTGCGATGGGTGCCTGCGCAGGCTACTGATAGAGACTTGGTTATGTATTTAAGAGCTGCACGGTCTATGGCAGCATTTGCTGGTATGTGTGACGGCGGTTCACCTGATGATGGATGCGTAGCTGCCAGTCGCGATGATACTACTATTAACGCACTTGATGTACTCCATGATTCTGGGTACGACCCAGGTCGGGCTTTACAAGCTCTAGTAAAATGTCCAGTTCCTAAAGGAATTGAGAAAAAATGGTCTGAAGAAGAATCTAAAAGGTTTGTTAAAGGTATCAGACAATTTGGTAAGAACTTTTTTAAAATAAAAAAAGATTTGTTACCCCATAAAGATACTGCAGAGTTAGTGGAATTTTATTATTTGTGGAAAAAGACCCCAGGTGCAAGCAGTAATAGACCGCATAGGAGAAGACGTCAGGCTTTGAGACGAGTTCGGAATACTAGAAATTCTAGAGCAGGAACTCCTAAAGAACAAACACCAGAAGCCACACCTCCAATACCAGAAACAAATGGTTCTCGTCCATCACCAAATCCAAAAGAGGGTGGTGAAATGAGTTCAGTAACCGAAGATGAAAACTCCGAGGATGACAGTGACTCAAGAGATGCAGGTGATCTTGCCAAGGCTGATAATGGTAGAAGTGGGGACAACCCTGAAGACTCTCCCAGCAGAATGAGGACAAGGAATAAGTCAAAGGAACAAACAACTCCTAATAAAAAGAGTCAAGAGGAAAGTGATACTGATGTCAAAGTTAAAAAACCAACCAAATCCTCAAATCATCAACCAAGTACACAGATCACAAATATAGTAATCAATCCACCAGAAAAAGTTCCACCTTCACCAGTTAGTAAAGATCTGAAGAAAAAAGTTTCAAATGGAAAAGTGGATGTTTCTAAAGTTAAAAAGAGACTTCCTGACGATTCAAAGATTGAAGGAATTATGGATGGTGATGTGCAAATGAAGAAAAAGAAAGCAGCTGAACCTCCTGAAAGTCCATCTGAGAGTCTCACTAATGACAGCTTCCCAGCTATGGATGAAACTGAAACTCCAGAGGCTGAACCTGAAGCCTGTGATTATAGCTTTAACAAGAATGATAAAGAGAATATTGAGCAAAATAAGGAGGCTGAAATAGAACAATCAATTAAACCTGTAGATGCACAAGTTAAAGTAGAACCCAATATTGAGCCCATCATAAAAATGGAGAAAGAGTCCTTGCCTTCTGCATTTAAAACTGTTGCCGACAAAGATAGAAGCGCTTTAGACCTTAAAACAGATTCAAATTTAGTTAAACCTCTTGAGAACATAGAGCCTCGACCGCTCACAGTGTTTCCAAAGACTGAACTTATTATACCTAAAGTCAATATGCCCACAGAGAGTATGGAAAAGATAAAAATCAAGGAAGAGATAGATACAGATGAACACTCTCTAAACTTGCAAAAAGAGGAATTCCAAAAAGACCCCCTTGCTCAAAATTATCCACCACATTCAATTAATCAAGTAAACAAGCCTCTTAACCTAGAGCACACAAACTTCTTTGTGAAAGATAGTCATATTTATAATCCTAAACTCAGCCATAACATCAAAATAGAGCCTGTTTCAAATTCAATATTCAACCCTGTTAACATTACAAAAGATAGTAATTCTATTATTAGAAGTGCTAAAGACTTTTCAAGTGGTATGCCTTCATTCTCATACCCTCCAAATATAAATTTTGCTAATGATCCCAATAAACACAATCAATTAATCAACCCTTTAAAAACAGTTATAAAATTAGAACCCAGAGATGAAGCATCTGAAATGAAAAATCAGAATACACCTGAAATATTTACTGCAACAATATCTGCCAATAAAGTTGATTCACCAAATATACCTCGTCTTGATTCTTTGCAAAGGATAAGTCCATCTCCAACAAGTGCTCGTGGATCATCACCATCTCATATAGAACATCCTTCAGGAATGAACACAGAACCTATTTCTCCAGCGAACACACAAGAAATGAAAGCACAAGAATCAGATCAAGATGAAAAACAGCCCACTGACTTAAAAACTCAACCAATGCCTAAAAATGATAGCCAAAATACTAATACTAGACCATCTATGTTCCCTGCACCAATAAGACCAGACAATTTGGGATTAAGGCCTTCAGAAGCACCAACTGTACCTGTGTCTGGCCAGAGTATGCCTCCACCATTGAGTCAGCCCTCTATATCTGGTCTACTACCTCCCGGTCCTCTAATTTCAGTCAGTGGAGGTGCAAATAATGTTGGACCTTATGGATTTATGCCAGCAGGATTATATGGACATCCCGGATTAGAAAAACCAAATTCCTTACCACCTCTTATGCAACAAATGCCTCCATCGCATAGCTTAGCTGGAGCTAGTTTAATGCAATCTCAATCCAGTCAAAATGATCCTTCGATGCCACAAGACTTGAAAATAAAACAGGAAGTGCCAGATAACATGCCAGCTAATCTTTCAACGCAAAATGTCACAGATCCTTTACAATCACTAAAAGAAGTAAAAGTGCCTGGGTATCCTATTGGAAGTTCGATAGCACAACATTTAAGTTCTGAAAGAGATAGAGATTCAATGTCAAGTGTTGAAAACAATAGCAGACCTTCAAGTCAACCTACAAATGATAATTCAAGTATGCAGAGTGCATTCTTGGGACCAAGAATAGAGAGCATAAAAAAAGAACCAGATTTTCTCCATCAGCCTCATATTACGCCAGTTTCCTCACATCAAGGGAGCAGCTCCGATTCTGCTAGTGCCATTCCGCCTGTGAAGAGTCCTCACACTCCAACACCAATTAAGAGTCAGTCAGGCCATAATGGAACACCCAATCACCCCCACCCCTCTGCTACTACATCACCATTCTCCAGACATCTTACAAGCCCTTCTCAGCCAAGACAAATATCGGCATCTCCTGTGCAGCCAAATACACCAGTTTCACATTCAGCTCTAAGTCTGATGAATCCAACACCATTGTCCATTCCATCTACAATGGCAGGTCCAGTTATACATTCAAGTCAGCAACATGGCCCACCACATCCATTTGCATCTCACCTTCATCATCCCCACCATCCTTTACTACATCCATCATCAATATTTCAATTATCAGCTGCTGCTGCAGCTCATGCAATGCATCCCTATTACCCACACCCACATCCTGGATATTCAATGCCCTACCCATATCCATATGGCCCACTTCCTCAACCACATCCTATACCCCCCATGCACCCTTCGGCAAGTACTCCTGGGCGGCATGAACCAATAAAACCAAGTACAATTGAATCAACAACAATGTTAAGTGCTCATCATAGTACCAGCTCATCTGTTACAACGCGGTCCTTGAGGGAGATATCAGAGTCATCAGAAGATCCTAGAAATCCAAATGCAACTACAGAAAGACATCAGTTGCATGAAACGACAATGACACATCATCATTCTACAAGTCACCATAGTGCAGTGCATACGAGTACAGAAAAGCAGCCTAGTCATGTGGGTGGTGGAACAAATCATACTCTTTCTATTTCACACTCAACATCAAGCAGTTCGTCGCAATCTATACAACATAAAATTAACACTCAACAAAAAAGTAGTGCCCATTCAAATTCGCCCCATCATTTGGCAGCAAGTCTCTCACAAACAACAAGTTCATCTTCAAGTGTTAATAATCACACTCATCACCACTCGCATCACTTAGCCCACCATCCTGAAAGGCTCTCTCCAGCAGATTCTATGCTCTTAAGGCACCACCCTAAGATGCTTCCAGGCAATCCAAACCACTTAATGATACCACCTCCATCGATGGGCCACCCTATGAGCTTAGCACTTCCACCAGGCCCCGGACCTAGTTCGATCGAAAGCTTGAGGATGCATGCTCAGGCTGCAGCTGGGCTACAAGCAGCTCATGCTAGATCAGGATCTCCCCATCAGCTTGGCCCAGGACATCCACACTTAAGAGGGCCTCCACGACCAATGCCTGAAGATAATCCAGAGTTAAAATTAGAAACTCAATCAGTACCAGAAGAAGAAGAAATTCCAAGCCCAGCCCATATTTCTCATGGCCCTAGCCCAGAACCTAAAATTGAAGATACTGAGTGTCATAGATCACAGTCAGCTATATTCTTACGTCACTGGAATCGTGGTGATTATAATTCGTGTACGCGGACTGACCTTATATTTAAACCGGTGCCTGAGTCAAAGCTTGCACGCAAGCGGGAAGAGCGTTTGCGAAAACAGGCAGAAAGAGATCGAGAAGAACGAGAAAAAATTGCTCAACAAGCGCACAGAAAAATAGCAACACCAGAAAAACCTGACACGAAACCGCCTTCACGAGGGGCTATAGAAACAATATCTTCTCCGTATGACAGATTTCCTCGCCCACCTGGTTACCCTGATTCGCCATCTTTAAGGCAGTTGTCTGAATATGCTCGTCCGCATGCTGGATTTAGCCCTGGAAATCTTCCTCGACATTGTATGGATCCTATGCTGCAATACCAATTTAGTTCTATGTATGGTGCGGCTGGGGCGCGAGAGCGGCTCGAGTTGGAACACCTTGAAAGAGAAAAACGAGATAGAGAAATAAGAGAGTTACGAGAAAGAGAATTGAACGATAGACTAAAAGAAGAGCTAATGAAAAATAATGTAGGTCCGAGAGCTTTGGATCCTCATTGGTTGGAGATGCATCGAAGATACGGGATGCCTCCACCTCCTCCTCAAGGTGCGATACCAGTTCAATTTGGCCTTTATCCGCCAGGACATGGACCGGGTGCTTTATCCCAATTAGAACGAGAACGACTGGAAAGACTGGGTATTCCTCCAGGGGGTGGAGGCGGGCCACCTCAAAATGTGCCCGTGAGCGGTGCCCCCCCTCATCATCCGCACCATCCTCATCCCGGGGTCGCTGCAGCCCAACTGGAAGCTGCTGAGAGGCTAGCTCTGGCTGCCGATCCAATGGTGCGCTTGCAAATGGCGGGTATCAATCCTGAATACCATGCGCACACGCACGCTCATACCCATGCACATTCGCACACACATTTACACCTACATCCTGGACAGCAAGCAGCGGCACAAGCGCAGCAAGATGCCTTAAGTCTTGGGCTCGGAGGAAGCGGCCCATATCGACCGCTGCCACATCCTGACTTGCTCGGGAGGCCCTATGCTGAACAATTGGCCCAGCAAGCAGCAGCTCATGAGCAACTCCAGCGACAATTGCTTATGGAGCGTGAGCGAGGCTTTTTACATCCTGCGCATCATGAAGACTTTTTACGACAGCAAAGAGAGAGGGAGCTGAAGGTGAGGGCGCTCGAAGAAGCCGCTCGAGCGTCCCGTCCTTAGTACGCCGCGCGCCCTAAACCCGACAACGACGTAGTCTTGATCGAGTAAAGGACGCACAACAAACGATAATGCCTTGTATAAATATAATTGTCAAGTGTTCACGCGGTAGTGATACGGGATTGAGGACCGAACTATTTAATTTTAAAGTGTGGCGATATTTGTAATTTAAACACACATAAGTTTATATTTTTATAGCATGGCAGAACAGTATCTTCTTTTCCATGCTCAAATCTATATATTATATCTCCTAGTCATAATTAAATATTATTTGTAGACAGATAAATGAGTCACACATTACTATTAATAACAGAGCGCTGTTAGTTTAAATTATTATTTTATTGTTTTATACATTTTAGCATGTAACAGTAAGGGTGCTTAGCGGCATACATGTGAATGGACCATGCGGTTATAAAATTAATAATCTCAACACAATTATGTTCATGAAGTAAATATATTTTTTAACAGACTGTTAAGTGCGAGTAACTTTCAATGTAACTACAATTTGTTAACTTAAAGTTGGCTACGTATTTTAATATTTATATATCAATTTCACAATTTTGTGTTGGAAAAATCCAGTAGAAAATGAGCATAAACTTCTTTCCTGTTTGTTACTTAATTTTTTACTACGTGTCTGTAGGTACAACGGTCATTATATTTGATAATGACACATTCTAACAGAAACATATAACTTTAATGAGACTATTAATGCAAATTGTTTTGAATAATAATTTATTGTTAATTATAATAGACCCAGTTAAGATGTAACGCGAAACTTATGTGAATTTCTATTGTAATTATATTTTATAGTATAGCGTAGTCTTGAAACGGCGTGGATATTTAGAACGAGTACAAACTATTTGAATTTTTTCATCTAGACACGAACAAGTTTGAAACAATATAAAAGATTAGTTGCATAGTCCGAATTAACATTAGCTATTTCCTAAAGGCTAGGACACATGTCTCGGTATTTCTTGATCCTTAGTTTTCTGTCATGTGTGCTAGCCTTTAGATAATAAAGATGATGTAAAGTTTCTTTTGTTAATGTAAAACTTGTTCTCACCCAATGTACACTTTCAAGTAATTTAATGCACTGCATTGTAAAAAAATCCATTTGTATCAAACTATAGAACTGTTAGAGTTATTAAAGATTATCATAGTTTGTAATATATTAACAATGCTTTGTAGGTGTTATGTTTATAATGCCATAGTTACTTTCTGATATTTAAAAAGAGAAATGAGTATTATTTTTAGATACAAATTATATCTTTAAGAAGTTGCGTGTCGATTTAAAACGTCATTTATTTAGACAATAAGGTAAATGGATGTCTTAGTGCTTTTGTGTAAATTTTTTTGAATAATATATGTGGAAAAATTCAGTTTTGTTTTTGTTTCATTATAACGTCATACCTTAACAAAAACATTTGTAAAGACTTATTTGTTCTAATTTTGAATTTTGAATGGGTACTTAGTTTTTAATTGTAATTGGTATCGTTGGATCGAGTATGCATTATTTAATTTATTTTGATACGTTTTTACTATAGTTCAGCCTTCGCAGAGAAGATAAAAACAAACGCTGCTAGAATCAAAATTTGATTGACGTATCTATGTGATTGATTGATCAATAAATAATTCATAGATTTCATGTTAATTTTTTTATGAGACTCGCCTTGGGTTTTATGTTTATTTACCTACTACAAACTAAACTAAGAGACATGGGTCTTACAAGTCACACAGGATTGCTCGCTAGTTCTCCACAGAAGATTACATCAGTCAAAGACCGGGTAAGTTACTTTAAATCACAGCAAGTGGAGAAATGTGAAGCGCCCGGCTTGCTTTTACTCAAAATTTAGGATGTTTACTATTGGATTCTTTTGTATATAAACAATACATTAAAATTTAACAGTTAACCTTTATAAATTGCGTCACAAGAGTAATGGTAGTCTTATATTTTACAGGGTACAATAGAGTTACGATGCGAAGTGACAGCTGCCCCGTTCATGCTGAGGCCGTATGCAGGCCTGTACAATCCATTCTCCAATACGTGTTCCGTGCTCTGCAACCATCCCGCCGACACTACCACAAAAGAATTCGTCAAACGTGCGAAAGATGCATGGGTAAGATCTACACAATTTTAAGAAATTTAAATTCAATTATTGTGATGTCAAAGATGTTTATCAGAGACCAAATATAGTATATGTGTCACTCCACAGTTCCCGTGGTCGTATAGCGGTAGATACCGCTAAGTGCCAAAACACTTGGCGATTAAAAAGAGTGGCGGAGAGTTTATTGCCAGTTCTTCTCGTCCATTCTACGCCTTTGATTTGAGAACTGGCAGTTAATATAAAATTAGAATTTATCATTTAATATTTATTTCCTTATTGACGTTTATAAGTGTACATTGTGTTACCTAAATGAATAAATGAGTTTTGAATTTGAAAACAATTTAAGCGTTGCGATATAAACTTGGCTATATACCTGTATTTCATTTTGCCCTTTCTCACCCCACTCTAAGACTAACTTTTTTTAAATCTATTGTGTGTAAGGAACGGGAACTTGTCCGAAATTTACTTCTAATATATAACATTCTCGTGTGACACTGTTCGTTCCCATACTCCTCCGAAACGACTCGACCGATTCTTATGAAATTTTTTGTGCATATTCAGTAAGTCTAAGAATCGGCTACTATCTATCTTTCAAACCCCTAAATGTTAAGGGTGGTCCACCCCTAAATTTTTGTTTTTATTTTTTTAGATAAATTTTTTGTTCTTATTTTTTTTATGATACAGCATACAAAAATACATACAACCCTTAATTTTCACCCCTTTACGATCAACGTTTTTTTTGTTAATTAAAATCTTATGACTAGAACTCTGAGGTTTATACTCGTATAGAGAAAAATTCACAGAAAAGTCTAAAAGTTTTGATTCCAGAAAACCGAACAGTCTCTGGGGTAGCCTAGCAAAATGTTTCATGTTGTAAGTTCGCGGGGGCAGCTAGTTATTTTATATTTTTGTATTCTCATAATACTACAACACGAAATACACTTTGTCATACATATTTAATCGTAAAATATCGCGTTTACGCATTCTTCAGGTTTTGGAAGGAAAAGGCCATCACTTCCAAGAAGATTTGTCTAAATTTCAAGATCAGGATAAAGAGAAGAATAGGACGCCTCATGATATTGTCACAGAGGAAATGTTCAGAAGGCAAGTTTCAATAATACATTTTTACTAAAATTTAATTCTTCTTTTGTCGCCGTCTTTGTGACTGAAAGTCGTGTTGGTGTTGCATATCTTTAGGGCCTGTGTAACACTAAGGCCTGTAAGGACGTTAACTTGGTCGGTCCAGAGAATAGGGGATCGGCTACGGGGTCTCGTGCATTCCACTCCACCACAAGCTTCTCCAAGTTATCGGGACCGCTGCGTGCTTTATGTTCAAAGAAGTGCAGGATGGTTTATAACATACTGCTGGAAGACGGGAGACTAGATATACGTGTCGAATTGTAAAAATAAAATATTTCTTAATATTTTTAGATTCATATAACAAAAAATATTTTGTTGGCAATAGCTAATTGCAGTTTAGTAAGTAAACTTTCACGATAATTTCATAAAATTTAAATCGTAATTTTTAACCACAGACTTCAGAGCAGCGACAAACTTCAACTCATCTTTAATATATATTATGAGTCTCCCAACTAGATTATAATTTTTATGTTTTGCGTAACTTTTCAGATACACAGAAACTGATTCCCGTCCACTGACTCCAGCCCCTACCTTAGCGAGTGGCAAGTCCCGAGGATCTAGAAGGTGCCTGACGCCAGACCAGCCTAGACAGAAGACTACCATTGTTTTAGATCTGCGCAGGAGTCATAGTCAGGTACGAATTAAAGCGAGACCGATGCAACGTTTAGTACGTTTTAAAATATAAAATAAAACTAAATTTTACATACTTTTTCTCACTGAACAATGCTAAATTTGAGTGTAAATTAAAAATATTTTTTTTTCAATTACAGGAAACCCTTTATTACCATGGCTGTACAACCTCAGAGGTGACCGCAGCAGCCACCAATGAGAGGTCACTTCCCTCACTAAACCTATCTGAAAGTGCTCATAAACTGTTAAAGGGGCAATGTGAGCAATTACCGCCATTAGCCTCTCCCCTTGTGTTATCTAAAAGAGCTGTCCGAGAACCTGCTAAAAAGGTAGGGTTTTTAAAAAATATGTACTATTATCATTCATTACTACTACTCTTTAATATGGGTATAAAATTTGTAAGAAGCATTTTCTTTATATATAATAGTTTATCTTATGTTTCTTTGTCTAAACAATAGGAAATTAAAGCATGTAAGATTAGAGAATTTTAGTAATATAGCCTATTTATTTTCTCCATACGGTAATTTAATTTTTAATACATAATTTTCAAGTTCTCAAGAATAATTACAAAAAGTTATGAACTTCCTTTGACAAACATATTTTGACTATACATGGTTATGAATTGGTTATTTGAGTCGTGATTTTTCAATGTATAAAAACGGATTATGATATCGTATTCGACGTATTGAATAAGGATTTATGTATTTGTCTAAATCCAATACTAATGCATGTGTTGTATTGAATTTTTGGTTTGTATAAAAATGGTCGCGGGTTACGAAATATTTTATTCACACTATGGAGGTCGGGGTTAAAAAAACGCTGATGTTTGAATAACATCAACGTAATCAATTTACCTTTATCTCTTATCAATTAAGCTTATGACTATCCTCTTCAAATCCAACTAGACGGCTATCAACATATTACACGATAAGACCTAATCAATAAAACACGTAAATGCCAGTCACTTTGTTGTCGCCGTAAATTAAACATGTTTCCGATAATAATCTCGAAATCTAAGTTACAACAAATCAAAAGAGATAAACCGATAGATTTTCATTTAAAACCAAAGCGTAAAGAAGATTCTAAAAAGGATGCACAGATAAAAAATATCGTTATTTCACGCGAAAATTTGGCTTCTATCAAATCTAAACGCGTGAAACGGAAGTTGCTCGCACTTCCGTCGATTATAGCGCCATCTTGTGATTGTTCTTTAATGCATGTAACACGGATTGTTGTTAGTTATGCCCCAAAAAGCAGAAAAAGAGACGGATCAAATATAGTCCTCTCTATGACGTGGGGCACTGGACAGAAAAAACGAATGAGGTTGCCCAGCGTTAAAACTGTAGCTAAGAAAAAGAAAACCAAATCGATTAAGGAATGTTGCAATAGTGAGGAGTTTTTTATGAAGTTAGAGGTATTTTTTTCGTATCTGATGCACAATTTTAAAGTAAGGTTTTATCATCTTCAAAAGTTGTCTTCCGACTAAAAATTGTTTTTAATCGAGAGTGGAACCCACGACCTCAGAGTATATTTATTGTTACTTTGTAAATATTATTATTGTTAGCCTTGTATACTGGTTATAATTGTTTGAATTTCCCAAATACAGAACCAACTGAAAGCTTTGAATATTGGCAAAACCCCAAGAAACAAAAAGAATGATGCACCTTCATCCCAACGATCGAAGAGCGAGAAAGATACTGAGAATCCTGATGAGATGCCTCCAATGGATGACGGTAAAAATTATATTTATTTCAAAGTATCCTTTGCATAGAAATATACTTATTGGATTAATTCTTTTAATTGGTAAAAAGTATTTTTTTTATAATATTAGTGTAACAGATTCAAAACAGATTTTTTTTTATCGTGTTTGTAAACTAAATTATTGAGAAATTTGAGTATTTTATTTAAAAAACTGTTCCCCAATCAGAATAAATGTTAGTTTGCTTATATTGTTGCCATATCTTTGAGATAAATAGCTTTACTTCTTTCTTTTGTAGGAAGTTGCCCATAGACAGCACCTATTTTTATGGATTTAAATAGGATTAAATAATGCTTCTTTATTGATACATGATATATGAATCTTATTTTACGTTTAAAGTGCTATTAATCGTGTTATAATTAAATTTTACAGTAATCTAGTAAACCAGAAAGTGGTTCACAATGTTTATATTCAAACCATTTTTAGGGGGATTGGAAATGCGTAGGCGTGGCAAACGTCGCCGTAAGGGCCGAGGTAGTGATCGCCTCACATCTGCTGGTCTCGCTGCGCAGACGCAACAAGACCCTGAAACACAGGTACTGTATTTTTAAAGATATTTGTTCGTTTTGAATACATAGTCGCTCGGCCAAAAGAATGTCTATATATATCTCATTTAATTACTACGGTTTCGTGATGTACATATATGTATTATATTTGTTTACTATGATTATACATATAAGAAAATGGGATTCTTTTAACGATTTTAAATAAGTGGAAATTTATATTTAATTTGCAAATATTAATTATTTTCAAATCATTTCGTATGCTCTATATTTTCCTTTTAAATTAATAAATGTAGTTTATCTATAGTAAATTACTTTTCTGTTTATGTATTACTCTATGTTAATCATTATTTACACAGATCGCGGGAATAGGAACAGATTCGCAAAATCCAAGTTCCCGCGCATCTATAGCGCGCATAAATGACGTGGACATTATACTTCCGGTTGTCAAAACTGGAGTCACGCGGAAAACGGATTCGTTCCTTGATGATGACATGCTCAAATATCTCCACAGAGAGGTCGATGAAGAGGCTATCGAAACTGAATTTGATGTTAAAGTATGAGTTTTATTATTTATGGTGCAGAATTACGTTATTTTATATTAGAATTACTCTTCGCACGTGCATTTGTAATACACTTGTTGGTACCGCAATATTCGTTCACCACATCATTTAATAATATTACTTGAACTTCCTACTTAAGAAATCTTTTGATTTCTCATAGGTATTTTTTGATCTGATCACCTGATGTTAAGTAATACAACCGCCCATGGACACTGGTTGCGAATGCGTTACCGGTTAGTTGTTGCTGTAGACAAAATATATGTATTCGCTATTTGTGCTTGTCCCATAGAAAAATATTTCTTATAATGACTCTAATGTGATTATAATTTGAACAATTGCCGTCATTATGTGGAACCAGCTGGCTATCAAAGTATTTCCGAACCAATTCTTACTTTCTATTATTTAAAGGCTGGCAACACACGCAAGGCTTCTAGCATTGTGAGTGTCTATTGTCGTAAAAAAAAACATTTTTGTAGAAGTTTTTATCTATGATTTGTGTATTATTTCAGCGTCGTTACGTCCTCGAAGAGGCGCTACGAACGCGTCCAGAGCGTCCCTACGGCGAGGAAATGCAAAGCCTACTTCGCGAAATGCGAGTCCCAGCAGTCAGCTTGGGTGATTGGTTGCACATACCACGAGTGTTTTCAAGGCAGAACGCGCAATTCCAATTGCCTATTGATACTAATGATCTTGAGAGTGAGAAACTATTTATCATTTTTTTTTGTAATGGATCAATTAAAGCGTCATAAATTATTACTATGAAATTTTTGAACCTATGCAATTCAATCTATCTATCTTCAAATTTAAGAGCCGGGCTCATGACCCGTACATCTTGTGGTGCTCTTGTGTGTGTTTGACCTGAGGTCAAAAAAAACAAAAGCTGAGGTCGTGACACACCAGGTGAATTAAGACACTGATGCAATTCAATGTTCTAAATAAATAAGAGACGCTACAATCGTTTTGGGTCTGGGAAGCAGATTTCTGTATCTGTTTCATGATCTTATAGGCAAGTAGGTAATTAGCCTCCTGAGCCTGACAGAAGCCGATTTTTTGGATCTTAGGCAAACCGGTTTCATCACGATGTTTCCGTCACCGTTCGAGCAAATGTTATGTTATATAAGGAATAATACACCATCCTTCCTCCACATCACATATAAAATTCTTGTGTCACAATGTTCGTTCCCATACTCCTCCGAAACGGCTCGACCGATTCTTATGAAATTTTCTATACATATTCAGTCTTTATATCTTTCAATCCCTAAATGTTAAGGGGTGTCCACCCCAAAAATTATGTTTTTATTTTTAAGACAATTTTTTTTATTTTTATTTTTTTTATGATACAGCATATAAAAATACATACAACCCCTAATTCTCAACTCTCTACGATTAACTCCTATTTCTTATTATTGTAGATGGTTATTTTATTGAACTAAAAAAATGTTTCCTAGAAATAATATACATAGTAAAACAAACGTTGCCCGGGTCAGCTAGTATCTCATAAAGTTGGATTGTTTTTTTTAGCACTTACTCCAATGCAGTATGCAGCCAGGTTCGTAACTATCAAAAAGTCAAAACAGTTACTTTATTTAACCGTGTTACGCAAATTCAGGCCAAATGGTTACAGGATACCGTTGAAGGTAAGGTGTTGTTGCAAATATATTAATTCCTGCCATAAGAGCTTTAGTTCATAGATATAGATATTAGTTTCGAGTGCGTCTTTTGTTCATTACGGTAATTAATTAGTTTGATTAAATAACAAATTTTCAGAAAGGAAGCAGGCGGTACTACGTATACGAACTAAACTTATTCGTTCGTAAAATTTGAACACAATTAATTAAAAACAATACCCAAAGTAAATATATATATTTTTTTAATAATCTGCAAGCGAAGAATCATAACGTTTCTTTGATTTTAAGGCATATAGTGGAAAAAAATCTAAAAAAAAATAAATTGTGCGTGTACTAGGTGTACACACGTAAGAAGTGAAACTTCTTTATGATCTTGTTTTTCGAAAAATGATCTACTATATGCAACTTTATAGAAATTCGTTAAATTAGATAAAGTTTAACAAAAGGCTTTTATTATCATAGACATGAATACAAATATTTCATTTTACCTTATTACTACGAAGATTATTATAGAATTTCATTAATTGTAATAAAATTATTACTATCATTGAAAAACGTGACGATTTGCTACAAAATTTCTCCCATACGTCCATAAAGAAGTTTCATTCCAACGCCGATAATGAAGTTTGACTTCAAAAAGCAACATGGCGCGTAACCGAAAAATGTGACGCGTAACGAAAAAATGTTACACTAAATTTTTTTCCAACCTCGATAAAGAAGTTTCACTTCAATAATATCGTTTTGTTTTAAATAGCCGCCGTATTGAATCGTTTCTACGAGAATAAAAAATCTATTTAAATTTATAATTTTTTATAATATTTTTGATGTTTTATTTTGAAAAAAAGCTAATAATTATGATAACTCAATTTTTTTTCACTTTTGCATGCATAATTATAATTAATCAAAATTATCGCTAAGAGACATCCTTATCACGGGACGGGAATACGTCAAACTATCATTAATAACCATGTATAAATACCAAAAAAAACGTAAACGCGTACGTACCGCGTAAATGCACACATGATTCGAACACGCCACTATGGCATGAAAAGCCCAAAATATAAGAGTATTAAGTGAAAAATAAAAAGGTTTACAATTTTGTTCTAGGATATCCCCGAAGGCCTGAAACTCATGATGGGTGGTGTTCTAACCAATGAACAAGTGAGTCATTTTCAAACTATCATGGAGTGGGATCACTATGAAGATGAAGAGAACTTTCCGGATGAGATCAAACTGACTCTGCTCGACACAGGCTATAGGAGGCATAGCGGAGGAGGTGATGGAGAGGTAATTTTATCCTACCACCCCTTGAGCAATTATAGCCACTGTCTCCCTTTTGGTCACCTTCTTTTATAGATTATGTATTTTACAATATAAAAACGTCAGGTTGCGGTATGAGTCATTTCTCTTCTACTATCTTGCAAGCAGTGTCGCCAGTTAACTTTCTTGTACAGAAAAAATCTGTTATAACGACATCGAAGGGACAACTCATATTTGGTCGTAAAAACCGATAGTCGTAACAGCCGATGATGTTCAAAAGTACCTAATACAACAGAATTCAGCCGGGACCTTTGATTTTGGTCAATATAACCGGTATGTAGTTCAAAATGTCGTAAACGGTTTTCACTGTAGTTATGTATTTCTTATGTGTAAGATGACTATATTTTTTCTCAATATAATTAATATTAAATACAATTGATAAACTTTAGATTTATCTGTTGTGCAAGAACTTATAAATTATTATTTTTTACTTGGGTGTGATAATATACGATATGTTGGCGATACAGCCCTGCGATTCTGTAACTCACTTTTCGAAATGTCAAATCATAAAATGACTGCTTCACGACTGATTTGAGCGAGACCGCCGCTGCGAAAACCGCTGTGTGAGTTCGAAAAGTGAGTTACAGAATCGCAGGGCTGAAGTTGATATTTGAAACGTGACTGAGCGATAAACGTGACTCCCTTATGTCAAAAACGTATGACATTTTGACATAACAGGAGTCATAGTTCCTCCTATTAACGTTATTATTTTAATAATGTGATGATGTAGTGATAAAATAATAATTTACTATTATATGACTCGTAATTTAATATGTAACTTCTATGTAAAATTCTACCTTTTAAGACTAATTTGCACGCCATTATATGTGGCAGAATATACTAATGTTAAATTGTACCACCACAATATTTTGGTACCATAATCTTGCAAATAAATTATTATTATTATAAGAATCACTCTTAAGACACACAATAGTATTGATTGCTTTTTTGTGATAGGTGGATGTTAATACAATAAAGTATAGAACTTGGTGCGGATTATGTGCCGTCTGTGAACGGATGTATGGGCGCTTTCCTCCTAGAGACAAAGACTCTCCAGACGGGGTAATTATCTATTATATTTTTGACAGTATTTAGTTTCAGATACTAGAAAGAAATGAAATGTAGAGAGAAGAAATGCTGAATCCTGAATTATTTCTCTGAGTCACTGACCACATTAAACAGTGAACAAATTAAATGTATTATATATATTATTTCAGATGGAACTCAGCGATTTTTCAATGGTGGAGACAAAAATTAACACCCTGAAAATTCACCCAGGATTAGCAGAAATTCTGAACACAATATGCAGGCGATAGTGATATATAATAATATTGTTTTACCTTATTAATAAAGTATTTTATAGGCATGTACATAAGTTTGGTAATATATTGAATATTGACTACAAACATGTTGTCGTTTAATTTTCGAACTAAAGACATAGTAAGAAATTGATTTTTTAAACTTCCAAAATAATAATAGTATGTGATGAATTGTCAATCAGTATTATTTAGGCATCGAGGTAACAGGAGGCTCACATACAATAATTTCCTTAAACATGGGATTTACTAGTGTAGCAACATCTACAACCTGCGTTTACAAATCACGGCGATGATGTCATACTCTCAAACGCGCAAAGTTATTCCGGCAGCTAAGGATATAGAAAACTTCTGTACCATACTCAAACTTTAACTAAAAATATCTTTATTCATATAGGTAAACAAGTACACTTATGAACGTCAAAATAGAAGTTACATTAATTGTAAAGTTACATTTACTACCAGTTCGCAAGTATCAACCGCGGCTGGCACGGGTGCAAACCGCTTCGTGAGTTCTTAGCGAAAGGCGTAGAGCGGGCAAGAAACTTTCTAACACTCTTTTTAATCGCTAAGTTTTGAGTCATACAAATTGTATGAACTGAAGCAAATCAATCCCAAGGATTAGGATCATTTAAGTATTCGTCAAATTTATAAAAAGCTTTATTGATTAATCAACGTATAACGAGGGATTTGAATTTATTTAGTGATCATTCTCTAATTTCGCTTGGGAGTTTGTTGTAAAAAACGAATACAATTTCCAATATGAGGAGTGGTTTATCTTCTGGAGCCTGGTTGGTCGTACACTCAAATTAGTTCTATTTCGCGTATTATACTGGTGAAAGTCACCATTTGTTTTAAAATCGATATATTTTTTACTACAAGGCTTGAAGAATATATTGACCAGATAGTGTGGTCCTCGGAGAAACAACAAATACCCCGAACACATAGTCACTGGTCCCTTTGCGTTAGCCAGTCAGTGGTTACATTGGTCGAGGATTCTCTCTTTAAGTTGGAGGTGTGTGTCCAAAGTAGTTTTTATTAAATTATTGATTGAAGCTATAAATCTATTACTACCATCAGTGTTTAAATGTGCTATTAGACACAGAAGGTATGCTGTACATATTTTAAAAGGACTGTTTAAAACTTGCCTATTTTCTTAAATTTTCCAACTAGTTGGCAACATTAAAACAACAATCTCATGACATTCTTGACATTTGTAACAATAATGTTTGACAGAATGACAATGACTATTTCTAAATTCTATCAACTGTCACGGTTCGACCGTTTAATTTCAAGATTTGTGAATTGTGATTCTTGCTTGAAAAAGAAAAAAAAGGATTGTAAAATACTATTTTTAGCCGGTCGTAGCATGTAACGAGTTAAATGAGAATTCATTCATTTCATATTGATAAACAAACAACCGAGGCCGTTAACGTGATCTAACAATCATAAATAACTTTTCAGTTCAACACAGAAAAGTAAAATGAGCCTTGAAGGAGATGGAATCCAGGACGGTTCGTGTTATTTAATTAGTTCAATTATAAATTCACCGCGTTGGTATGCTTCCTGGTTCACCTATTTAAAGCATTATATGTACTTGTAGAATACGCTGTCACAGCCCTTCAAATTTTCGAATATTGTGGAGCCGATAGTTCTAGCTCGTTACGGGTGGATGCCCTTATGGATAAATTCGCGCCTTTCGTTAAAACTAACAAGTAAGTAATAGGAGTATTTTCAGAATGTCAAAAATAATAATGAGACGATCTCCGCAGGTGTCCTTTATTACTTATTTATTGTGAAGAGTTTATAATAATTAATATTGTAAAAATATTTTTAGATCTGAATACAGTTATCTCAAGTCACTGTTAGATCCAGATCAAAACAATCCAGAAATTACAGTAGCGAAATTGGCTGAAAGTTTGAATAAGTACAGTGAAAGCCAAAAAGTTAAGGTGGATCTAGAAGAAAGGTAAGGTTTATTATGAATACGAATGTAGCTTAAATATATATATTTGATAAAAATCAAATAGTCTCAGGTTTCCACTGCTATAGAACTAAATTAGTTTAAATTTCTTTAGGATTATCTAGAATCAGTTAAAGTAAAATTATAATAGGTATCAATAACATTAAAGTAATTATTATTTTCAGTAAACATAAATGTTAATAATTATATTCATTTCTTGCAGCTTTAATTTGAGAAATGGACAGGCTCCACATGATTCAGACTCTGGAATTTCAACTGATGGTAAATATCACCAAGTACTTAATTATTAAGTGGTGGCTAGACAATAAAAATGTGACGGGTGATCCATGAATGCCAAATAAATTTGTATGCTGGCCTTAAAATATTATATTATGATAGCAGGTTTAAGTATTTCTGTCTTATACCCTGATTAGACTATTTGTGTTTGGAACACTGGAAAGCCTTTATGAAAATAAAAGATTTTATGGTCCCATCTATTATTTTGCCAAAAATAATTGAGAATGGTGCTAAACCATTAAAGTTAAACACAAAGTGTTAAACCTAGATAAATATATATCTACAGTTAAGTTAGGATTATTATTATTGAGATGATTTCATCTCTTGTCTACAGGTTATCAAATGACCTTCTATTTTAAATTGTTTTGATTATAATTGTGATAAGGATGTTCCAGGCTGTTGAGTTTACTTTAACAGTTAGGCCTAGGGTCAATTAAAATTAGTACAGCAGTTAGTCTTTTTGATACATAATTTTAAATAACCCCTTGTGCTTGCAATATTTTTAAATTAAACAAAAGAGCTATATATTACTTAACTCCATTAAGATTTTCATGACACTACCATAGTATGAAAAAATGCTTTACCTTCTTTATAAATATAGGTTAAAGATAAATACTCATAGGATTTTTGAGTATATTTGTATTAACAAAAAATGTTACTTTGTTTTTTTTAATTACCTTTTATTTTATGAGTTAATATTTTTAAATGAATGGTTCTCGTGACCTCTGAGAGCCTTAATAACCCACACTATAAAATTACCTAACTAATTGAGGCTCACGTTTATAATATAGATATATCATAATATATAATACCTCCTAAGTATACTGAGTCAACTGACATTTTAGTAATTTTATAGGAGAGCCATTTTAAGGCAAATTGTTTATATTTTAATGAAATCAAACTAATTCGGAATAAATTAAATGTTTTTTAATAAAGATTGAAAGCTCTTCCTTTGGTATAACATGATTTTGCTGAATTTTGTTTTTAAATGATATTTTATGTACATGACTCATTATACACGGGCGGGCCTGAATAGTAAAATGGTTTAACTACCAGTTATATTCATGTACGTTGTACATGAAAATCCATGACTTACTCGAAAATATTACGAAATATGATAATCATTTTGTTAATATCATACTACTTTTGGTTATTTTCTTCTTACATCACTTGACTCATTATACTAGGAAAGTACTTACCTATGTTAGTAGTTAAAACCTCAACGTATACTGGACTAATATAATTAATCGAGGCTTTTTAATTACTCATTTTAGGTATTTCGAATACCTCACGAAATTAATAAAGGTTAGGAAGAAGTAGTCTCATTTAACAAAACAACACATTTAAAGAATCACAATGTATTTTTCGTTTATACTAAGTACCTAGGACCCGTTTTTGTAGTTTTTGTATCCGACCCGTTTTTGTATCATGAAAGTTTCTTGAAAAGTAACAAACATCAATAAAAATAATAGAAACTAAAAATGGTAACTTACGTTAAGCAATATTAATAAAAATAATAGATATGAATAATATAAATATCTAAAAATCTAGGAAATTCTAACTCTCAAAAAATTTCTATAAGGTTAAACAAAATAAATAAAAATATTAAAGGTTGAACGAATCAAAAATCAGTCTGAATCACTATCTTCTGCTCCATTAGAGTTATTTAGATAGATAGATAGATCCATCATTAGTAGTTGTCCAGTTGTTTATAAGTTTTGACTTTGATTTGAAGTCCTTTATTAAATACTGAGACACTTCAATAACTGTGTATGTATCTAAAAGCTGTATATCATTGATCAGGCATATAAAGCTTTTTATCTTTGTCTGTCTTTCAATTAAAGCGTGCATACTGTCGCCTTCACTTTGTGAATGACCCACTATTAGAAAGCGATGGCTAATAGCTATACTACACTTTAAACTACCTAACATATACATTAAGAAATAAATCCTATTTCTATGTTGGCCTCCACAGTTGTCTGACTAAAACCGGTAATCATTGACACCTTCACCACCCGTATCTTCTATAAACTTAAAATGATAGTTGGAAATTTCAATTGCACCTCTCTTTGCGGTCTGTTGATACCATCAAAAGCAATCACCTTGGCGAGATCCCAGAATGAATATCGTGAAATTATACAAATAATGTTTCCGTTTATAATAAAAAGTACTCACGCTCTCGTGAGGTACATACATTAAGACACTTTTGAAGATCAGATGCTGATGTAAGGATTTCATTATTTTGTAACGCTGATTTTTTATCTTTTGTTTTAATTTTTCTAGCTTTCTCTTTTTTTAAAATGCTCTTCATGCTTTTCTTTATCTGTCTGTAGAACTTGCTTGTTATTTTCATAAATGTGACATTGTTCACAGAAATCTTTTTTGGGTTTATAAAAACTATATATAGATATCTCGATATTGTCTCACGGTAGTCCATAAACCATTCGATTCATGAACAGTTTTGGGAAGGATAAAAAGCCTTCTAGATAATTTTTACTTGATTTTTGGCGAGTGTAATATGACTCTACAGGAGAAAATGCTTCAACGTGATCTATAACACTGTGAACGTCATCGGATGGATTATATGTTCATCCAAAGACCACGCTGATCTGATTTAATAAATCCATTACCTTTATCGGACTTTTCTAAAGCTGTATAAGCAAAATCAAAACTAATAGAAAGAGTTCTCAAGAACATAGTTTTGCAAACCGATATTTTTGTGGTCTCAATATTATCTCCTTCACTCCTTTTTTATCGACAATATTTTTTCTCTTTTTTTCCAGCGTTTACAGCATATCTTGCCAAAAAACCCATTGTCTTGAGTGGTCCAATAATCCAAAACATTCTGTTAATTTCTCACTGCATTTTTTCCATAAGTTGAGGGGCAAGAAGTTTTCATAATTCTCGTAGCATGAACTCTTCCGTTTCTACTGACATATTCCAATCCTCTATTAAGCTTATATTTCCTCTCCTTATCCATACATTTTTTATGAAAACTCTTAGCCTTTCTTTATCTTTTTTCGCAATGGAAATGCGCTTTTGGCGTTATTGGACGATGAGTATGTGATATCATTAATGTCAGAAATTAACAGGAGATGAGTCAAAAGAATTATACGGCGATGGTACTGGAGTAATATCACAATAATTTTCTATAATGCTATTCTGGATGGGCGAATTACCTGGAGTGTTCTCTATGACTGATGGCGATCGATCTCCTTTTTGAGTTCAGTTATCAACAATCGATACCCAAGGCGAAGAGCAAAGAATAATATAATCTAGGAATAATATGTAAGCATTAGAAGGGATATTCTGCGATACTTCCTTGCTATCATTCTAATCAATATCATCAAGTATTGATAGCTCCTCTTCCATAAATTTGCAATTTTTTTTTGCAATTTGCATCTTCCATAAATCTTCCATAAATTAGCAATTTGCATCCGGTGGCAATGGAGACTCTAAAACAAACAACAATTAAAAACACAAGAATTCATATTTTTATATTTAACGTGCCAATATCAAGTTATAAAATTTATAACACATAAAAAAATATATTATACCACAATAAAAACAAATATATCAAAAATTGAATTAGTACATTATTATAGCCAGATAAGTCAAGTGTCTTCTTTATAAAGTTTGTTCGTTGTAAACAGGTGTAAATATAGTTGTATCAGTATACGGCGTACTAAGCGACGTGTAACAATTATCAAACAAAAATGGCAAAATCACACTATATGTAACATAAATAAAGTATATCAATGTAACTTACCATATTCATCCCTGTTTTGCATTATATCACTGATTCCTGAGATATTGCTAATTGTATCATTAGTATTATTCACCTTATTATTGAGAAAATTAAAAAAATTTCGCGCCCTCGCCGTCATTTGTCGTATACTGAGCCATAATAAACTTGTATCAATGCGTCCCTCCTCACGCCCCGCGAACACTGATACAATGTTATTTGGATCAGTATACAATGTACGATTTTAACTGATGTTGAAATTGATTTAGTATACGTGAAATTATCTCGGTAATTATAAGTCTTTTTAAAAAAAAAATAACACTAACATTAAGATCATGGTTTATAATGTACTTTTGTATAAAAAAAACAAAATACCTAAATTTGTTAGATGACTCAGTATACTTAGGAGGTATCGATATAATACATGCATGTGTAGATTTGGAACACACTTGTATGCACAACTGTTATCGAAGAACAAATATTAATTTCATTTGGTGATAAGCAAGTGCAGTCAAACTGTTTGTGGGCCAAAGTGGCAATTATTTTAAAAATGGCGAAAGTTACAAGTGTTTTAGTGTTTAATTATGTTTTGAGGAATGCTGTTAGTTATTATATGTATTTGATGGATTTGTTTATTTACTATGGTATGTTAGAATGTGTTCTTTAGTTTATGGTAAATTCAAAATCAAGATGTTATAATGGCGAAGATGCGTGCGTTACTAAACGTTTGGTACGTTCAAGCCCCTGCTCGCAACAATAGATTAGTCTGTGAATTTATATTTAAATGCGCAATGTACACTTGCCTGTAAAAAGTAGTGATGAAACAAGTTTTTATTAAAAAAAAACAAGTTCCGGTATTGCTATGACGGAAGTAATCACTGGAAATACTATAACAATTTTGAAAAACTTTTTTTTTTAAAGCTACGTTATTCTTGATTGGCATACACAGTAGTGAAATATTTTGTTGTGTGGAAAGAAGTTTATAAACTAAATTTTGTAACTACTCTTTAAACTGTAAATCTTTTATAAGCTTACATCGTTAGTTTAGCCATTCAGTGAACCATTCTAACCAAACCGATAACCGATATTATAATTTGGAGGTCCAACTAATATAAAACATATCTTTATATATATAATTCTTCTGTGAGTGTGTATGTCACTGAACTCCTCTTAAACGGCTGGACCGATTTGAATGTTTTTTTTGTATATGATTGGGTGGAGCCGTGGATGGTTTAGATTCACAAAACAGCCCGGCAGATGGCACTGCAGTCGGTACTTTCATACTTTGCTTAATATCCTAATCGCTTTAAATATCATGCAGGACAACGTCTGTGGGGTCCACTAGTTATATATAAAATATATTCTTCTTTTCTGATATATTAATGAATACATTTTCCAGGTTTTCAACTTATAGAGGAGTTGCAATGCGAGCTCAGAGAAAAATCCCACTTGGCACATCAGCTGCGCAGCCAACTAGACTTCACGGACAGGCAGCATGAAGAAGCGGTCTCCGCGCTCACTGCCGAGCGGGATTCCCTACGATCGCATCTTAATATGTAAGTTCTGTTAAAATAATGTAGCGACATCTACAATCTATGCCTACGAATCACTACGATGTTATTCCCCTAAGGGTTGACTGACAACTGAAAACTGAGCGTTTTCTAAGGTAAGCTGCCCACTGAAGTATTTCCGAACCTATTCAACTTAAGGTCCTTCAAGAAGAGAGCGTACCAATTCTTGAAAAGCCGGCAACGCATTTGCGAGCCTTCTGGCATTGGAGTGTCCATGGGCGGCGGTATCACTTAACATCAGGTGAGCGTCCTGCCCGTTTGCCTCCTATTACATTAAAAAAAAAAAGTATTTCCGAACCTATTCAACTTAGGGTCCTTTAAGAAAAGAGCGTACCAATTCTTGAAAGGCCGGCAACGCATTCGCGAGCCTTCTGGCAATGTGAGTGTCCATGGGCGGTATTACTTAATATCAGGTGAGCCTCCTGCCCGTTTGTCTCCTATTACATAAAAAAAGGATGTATATACTTTTCGACTTTTCTAGTGGGGCCTTCGGGCCAGCCAATGGTAGGATTGGTTGAGGATCGTTCCTTTAGGTAGGAGAAACATTTTCCTTTATATAGCAAACATTGCGAAGTTAGCTTAGTTGTCAATTGTTTTTTTCCTATTACCAACTTAATTTTGCATGAATTTATGACCTGAAATGTTTTTACTTTATTTGCCGCCTTATAATAATAATAATAATATTTATTTGTTCTGTTTATGACAGGCTTCGCGAGGAGAATATGATATTGACGCACGTCAGACGCGACTATGAAGATGTATGTGAGCGATTATGTAATAGTGAACGGGCGTTGGATGATGTGAAAAGGCAGCTTGAGTGTAGTAAGAAGAAGCTACGTGTGATGACCCAACAAGTTTGTACACTTGAGTCAGAGGTACTAAATTTTAATATATAAATGTATCTATTCTGGTATTTTACTCTGTGTAAATCAGTATACAGTTTTGACTTGGGGAAAACGAAATACTTGAACGCCAAGTAACGAATGGGGGGAGGTTTGTCCTTTTTTAAAACGTTACGAAGCGTTATTGTTTATATTATTAACGTTACGGTACGTTACATGGGGGGGGGGGGGTTTTGAATAATCTCTAAAAATTGGGTGACGTAATACTAGAACGCTCCCTTGATAATAAATGTCACAAAATATTCCTTACCTCATAGAATGACTCGGAAACATTGTTTTAGAAGGTTTATATGGGTTCTGTTAGTTGAACTTTTGTTGGAGAGTTTTTCTATAGTTTTCTTTGTATACATTTAGGAATCATAAGTTTCGTAATTATGCTATAAGTGTCTATGTATAGACCTTAAATTATGTTTTGGATAATATGGGTTTCAAAACTCTAGTATTTAAATTAAATTTGTTCTATTAGAAGTTATGACGCAACTGGAGCAATCAAATATTTTTTAAATTGTTATACAAAAATAATACTTTTTCTTCTAATATTTTACAATAATTTTTCTAATGATATTTGCAGAAACTGACACTGAGCGAGCTTCTCGCGAAATCAAAGGAGGAATGTCACCGTATAAATGACAGATACGCGAGTAGACAAAGTGCGTTATTGGAGCAAAATGAGCGCCTGCGCAGTGAGCATGCTGACCTGAGCGTAAGGTTGCAAGACCATGATGAGGTTATGCAGACTGTCTTAAAGGAAAAGGTAACATATGTATATGTGATATCTTACTTAATTTGCTAAAAAAATATTTAATATTCTATTAGGGGCCGTTCATAAAATACGTTCGCGTACAAGGGGTGGGGGTCTGGCTGGGGGTGACAAGATGTGACAAGGGGGCAACGTGACGTTCGCCGTTTATCATTATTAGAAAATCCTTGGACTTCTGAATAATAGAAATATTCTAGTGACAATAGGGGGGGTCAAAAAAAGCTGATTTTAGTGTGACGTATTTTATGAACGGCCCCTTAGTGTCCAGTAAAACTTAGAGATTTTTCCTCTAGAACATCCACAATAATTCAAACTAGTGGTGCTTACAACCCTTGAGGTCTTGACCTCAGGTTTCGGTATCTGTTTCGTGACCTACTTTCCTATTAGTCTAAATTTCGGGACTAAGGCTATTTTCTGTTTTTTTTTCACCGTACAAGCGAGTGTAAATGCACATAGACAATAAGTCCATTTGTGGACTGCCGGGGTTCGAACCTACAACCTGATGGATGAGAATCACACGCTAAAGCCGCTAGGCCAACACTGATCAATGCAATGCATTACACACCAACTAATACAATATCTCAAAAGCTTTTTTTTGCCAGAAGATATTTTGGATTTTATATAAATACTAGCCCCCGCGAACTTCGTTTCGCCTTTTTTTTAATACTTACGTTACGTTTTAGCCATCAGCCATTTGCTTATCCAGAATAAACTAAAATTTTCCAATAGTTTTCCAATTTTATATATATAAAAACCTTCAGAGGTCAAGTAAAAAAAAATACTCGAATTGGTCCAGCCATCTTAGAGTTTTGAGCTTAGGAACATATTTTGCGATTCAATTTTATTTATAAAGATACTTATGAAATTAAATGCTTGAACGGTTAAAGCGGGCCATAGACGGACCGCATGTTGCAGTCAAGACCGACTGCAATATGCGGTTTGCTTAGGAACTGCTCGAGCGGTCCGTGTATTGCGAATATGAATTTAGTATGGAAACTGCAGATCGCCGTGCGGCGACCGCATATTGCAGTCGGTCCGTCTATGGCCCGCCTAAGAATAATTAAAAATCAATCACAAATAGTATAAACATCCATTAAAACTTCCTTTTTTTAAATTATAGCATCATCAAGGTTTATAGGTAAATCCATACGGTGACCACCATCAAAATTACTACAAATTTAAAAGAATTGTATTCATTAACAAATATATAACCATGTATGTCTTCAGATTCTATTGGAGATGGAGTTGAAGGAGATGTTAAATAAAACAAATCAGACACAGTTGAGGATGGACCGCTCCATCGACATCAGCTACACCGAGGATCAGATGTTGACGGCACTGGACAGTCTTAATGCTGACAGCAGGTTTTGTTCCGGTGAGTATTTTTAAGGTTACATGTGTAAGCGATCAGCTTCAGAACACAATCGATATTAGTTTCACCAAAATAGACCCCCAAGAGGGTATTCTTGTTGAATGTTTTTAATAATTTTTCTTTACCTATGTTTTAAAAAAATGCGCTTTATTGTTATTAACAAAGATCTAGAATCTAAATTAATTAATTCCTTTATTATGCTCCGATTTGTATATCAATGTTTTTAAAAAAATTATCGCTTTGTGTACTAAGCTAAAGCATGGTTCTCATGTGCCTTCTTATTTCCTTTTCAAATATTTTTCATAGATAAACGGATTATAGATGAGTCTTTTACGTTCAAAGACGAAGGCCGACCAACTAACATGTCTCTCTTCGACGAAATTAGACTTAGCTTTTGTAACATGTCCCGCCATAATATTACTGATATTAGTACAAATGACAAAGATCTTGATAATTCTAACTCTGAAATCGCTACACAGACGGGCAGTACAGATAACGAAAAAGATAGTGTTATTGATACGGAATATATTAATGTTGAAGTACAAACTGATATTAATAAGTCTAATCAAACAAGTGATGGTGAAACACAAACTAATGTAGAACAAAATTGTTTTAATAATGCAGAAATACAAACAATACATGTGTCTTACCAATCAAGTGATGTCGAAACTCAAACAGTTATAGACCAAAGTGAAACTAAAAATGCCGAAGTACAAACCGATCCCGCAAATAAGTTAGTTTATTCTGAAGTACAAACAAATGACACTAGAACTCTTACCACCGATGTTGAAACAAAATCTATTCAAGTGTCTTACCAATCAAGTGATGTCGAAACCCAAACAATTATAGACCAAAATGAAACTAAAAATGCCGAAGTACAAACCGATCCCGCAAATAAGTTAGTTTATTCTGAAGTACAAACAAATGACACTAGAACTCTTACCACCGATGTTGAAACAAAATCAATTCAAGTGTCTTACCAATCAAGTGATGTCGAAATCCAAACAATTATAGACCAAAATGAAACTAAAAATACCGAAGTACATACCGATCCCGCAAATAAGTTAGTTAATTCTGAAGTACAAACAAACGACACTAGAACTCTTACCTGCAATGTTGAAACACAAACTGAAATTAAACCAAGAAATACACAAAACAAAGCAAACATTCGAAATTTTAAAATTCTCATGAAATCTAGGCGAACAAAGAAAGACGCAGCGATACAAACAGATATAAATACGAATAATAATGTCAACAAGTGTTTAGAATGCGATAAATTCGATAAATATACAATTAAATTGGAAAAAGACTATAAAAATTCCCATAACATGCTATTAGATGTGAAAAATGAAATCGAGAAATATGAAAATAACTTAAATGTTCTTAAAAACATTGTCGATGAAGGAAATGATAGGAATAGCTATTTGAAATCTGTTGTGGACGGGTTAAGAGTTAATTTGAGCGTTTTAGAGGCGGCATGTTCTAAACAAAATGAAGAAATAGAGAAACTGACTTGTTCTGTGACTTCAATTGAAGTGCAAACTGAATTTGGTATGTTTTGGTAGTTTGTTGGTGGAGATTCGATGTTAATTTGTTCATATTTAAATAAATTTCGTAGTTTTGTGTTGAAAATGTAGTATTGTGAGCGTCTTGTGTTGTCCAATGTAGGAACTTGTAGGTATAGATGGGAACTTTCAAGTATTATGCAACGAATTTGGGGCAGGGGTCTTTTTGTAAAACGTTACGATGCGGGGCGGGGATTGAATTACGCGTTATTGGTAATATTATTTTCGACTTTCCAGTACTTTACACCACATAATGGTAACTTAGGTATAAAGAGACACTAAGTGGTCACGAAACATTTTACTATACTTGGGTAAAGAAAAACGTTACGGCGCGTTACATGGGGGGTGTCAATAATCTCCAAAAATTGCGTGACGTAATACTTGAACGCTCTCTAATTTGCATGTTTAATTGTTTGTTGTTCGATTAATTTTTACAGGTATTATGTCTTATTTATAAACGTATCTTTATATATAATTCTACTGTACGTGTATGTCACTGAACTCTGTCTTACCTGCTGGACCGATTTGAATGGCGCCCTGGATCGTTTAGATTTACAAATCAGCGCGGCAGCTGGCGCTGCAGTCGGTATCTAGGTTATTTATCTATACGACAAATAAACAGCTGGTATATATATATATATATATATATATATATATATATATATAAATCTACTGTGCATGTGTTCGTAATAAAACTCCTAAACGGCTTTTGTACGTAAGACGTGTGTACAGGACAACGCCTGTCGGATCTGCTAATATATATAATAACTAACTGACTCGGCCAAGCGTTGCTGTGGCTAAGGTTTTTGTTATTATAGTAATAAACTATTCAAGGGAAACGGTAGGAGAACACCAGTCACGGGGACCACCATGCTTTTTTGGTGGTAATGCCATTAAATTGTAGCTTATGTGAAACGTTGGTACTTTCCACACAGCGCCATCTGTTAGAATTGTGACTGTCAAATAATAATAAATTGATTTGCAATAAAATAATATTTCGGGTATAAATTGCGAGTTGTAAGAGAGTTATTTCGAGATGTAAGCTATCTATTTAGTTAGATCAAACTGCACACGGTGTGCAAATTTGATTGAAATCAGTTCTGTAGTTTAGGAGTCCATAGGGGACAAACAACGTGACGCGTAATTTATATATTTATTAAGATTATTGTTCGCAATATATATTATGTACAATAATTCGTTGGGGAATGTTTGAACTTATCGTGTCATACAAAGCGACATACGTGGCGGAAGCTGGGATACTTATTTTATAATAATTAATATTTATCTTTTACAGTTTATGGTACGTTTATGAATAGGATTCAAAGTATTTTGTATTACTTAGTGTAATAGTGTAGCGTAGTAGTTAGTCTTTAGATGTTACATATAATTTTCGCTCTGATTTGATATAGCTAAAATAGAACACAAGAAGTCTCCTTAATGAAACTGTAAGTAGTGTTATTGGACACTTCCTTATGTTAAAAATCCTTTTTAATAAATTAGGTTAGACTTAAATTACTTATTAGTCTTAAGTTAGGCTAGATCGTAATGTTTAATAAAAAAAATGTATATAAAAAATATAAAAAGCTAACCAACTTTGAATATCTTGAAGAAACAAAGTTGTGAATAGTTTGAATTTTAAATTACTTGTCATAATTTTATTACTATCAAGGAGATTTGCATGACATGCATTCTCAAGTATTGAGTGTCTATCCGTTAAAAAAAAAATTAAAATATTGTGAAGAAATGTCCTTTTACAAGTCTAAGAAATATATAGAATAGAATAGCTAAAGCAAAGTTGTAAGGGTTTTGGTCAAAATCACGATTTCATTTAATTTAGACAAAATCTATTATGATTATTTATTGACGATATTGCTCTTACATACCCATCTGTTATTAAATAATATTTTATTTTTCAGAACAAGTGTCAACGTATTCGCAAACAGATTTGCCCTGTTCCACGTGCGTTAAACGGAACGGATCTCATCGCTTGAGGAAGTATCTCTGGTGAGTATTTTTTAATATCAAATTCTTTTTTTTTCTTACAGTATTTTTTTTATAGTTAAATCCATTTTTTAAATATTTTCAATATTATAGATCTTTTTATAAAAAATATTTATTTGCGTACGAGTGCGCGATATGTGGTCGCTATTTAGTATATGTCTTGATGTTGATGAACTCTTATCCGAAACCAGCTTTAATGGCGTCATTAATTTTCGCGGGAAAACATTTTAAAATTGAAACTTAGGGACAAAAATATATTAAATGATATTACAAGTGTATAAATATAACTTTAAAATAACAGTTTTACTTGTACATTGTATGTTTTTAACGTAAAATGTGTCTATATATTATGTTCTGATACAAAAACTTCTTTTACATTACATAGCCATTGTATGTAGAGTCTAACGGGCTGGATGCTCACTTGTTAAGTGATACCGCCCATGAATACTTTAAACGTCAAAGGGCTCGCAAGTGCGTTGCCGGTCTTTGGAATCACTACGTTATTTGCGACCGACCTAAAATCGTTTTTTTTTCGGATATGCTTCGGTGAAAATCTTCATCTTTGAAAATAGTCAAAGTAAATCTTATCCAATTTTTTATTGGAACAGTCAAAGTATAGTCACCTATTAGGTAGGTCCAAAATATACCTAAAGCTCTCACTCAGCCTATTTCCAGGGACCCGTTGAAGTGTCTCTTCCAAGCGTTCGCTGTCATCTGCTTTGTATTCGCTCTCTCCGCGTTGTATGGCGTCAGTCGGCGTTGGCAATCTCCGTGCACTCCTCTGGCGCCTTGGAGCTGGCTGCAGCCTCACGATTTGATGGATCTGTTCTTCCGTATCGAGTATATAGCTGATGTACCTATGTAGACTTAGTTTGGTTGTAAATGGTAAATATATAAAATATTGTCAATTGTCAACTGTCAACTGTCATTGTAAGTTTGTGTTTGGATTATGGGCGTATTTGCGATGTTAGTAGACTTTTACGTTTTTTTATCCAATATGCACCTTAATACGAAGTAAGAAGGTGCTATTTTTATCTATTTCAGTTTAGTTGCGTAACTTAGTCTTTGAGATTTTTTATCCAAATTGTCGCTATTACTAGATTTAAACGTGTTTGTGTTTTTTTTATTATAACTAAGTAATGAAGACGTGTGAATGCATGAAAGTTTTGGTGATTTGAAAGTATTGCTGATAATGTCACTGACAGAACGCATTTACCATACAATATGTAGAGTTTACTATGAATGTTTGGTTTTCCGAATTAGTTCCATATGCGCCCACGGAGTTTTCAAGTTTTCTATACAAAACAGATTTCTATTCTGTGATAAACTAGTGCCAGTTACATAGATTAAGATATCACCAGGAATATCTCTTCTAATACCTGATTAATATTAGTACAGTAAAACTAAAAATTTCAAATAAGTACCATTTATAGGTAAGCATATTTCAAAGCTTCAAAACGGCTGGACCGATTTTGCTCAGATTATTACGAAAAATACTTTAAAAAATTTGAAAATAAGACTTTGCGGTAACATAACTTAAAAATATAACGCTAAAACAAAGAAATAAGTAGTGTATGTGTCACCGGAATATAACAAAATCCGCAAGTTTATAAATTTCCTAGGAATTAATCAATAAATAATAAGTAAGCGATAACTAAACGGCATGTGCGCTCTGATTGGTTGAAAAAGTCACTAACCTAACCTAACCGTTTAGAATTTTACGAATGGATATCCGTTAGATTATAAATGTACCACAAGACGTTGCAAAATGACAAATTTGCGAAATGACAAATTTGCGAAAATGTGGGCGTAAAATAATACAATTTAGCTTTCGTTTAGAATCCTAAGAATACGGATTTTGTTATCTTCCGGTGTCATATGCATCGCAAACGCAAAACGCAACGCAAGTAAAACAAATTTACGACAAAACCTCATTTAACATCTCTTTCGATCAAATTGTGTTGACGCTATGACAAAAAGAGACAGTATATAATAAATAGTATTTCGAGCAGCTTCTAATTGTGATTGGAGCTTTTAATAAAACAATAATATCAAATGCAGACATTCAAAGTTGAATCTCATTTGCATTTAATTCTAGAGTTAAATATTTGAATGTGGCTTTGTATTTCATCTCTTTCTTCTCTTACTTCGACTATAAACTTAAGGGCCTACAGTTATTTTTATACTATATTGCTTTTGATGTCCAAAAAAAACTGGATGGCTAATAATATAAGGAGTAGAAAACTTTTATTGGTGTAATTAAAACTTATCAATGTTTTAGTTTTAGAATACAATTCTGGGGTACATACGGCGGCAAATAACAATCCGATTTTAGATTACATATTAATTAATAGGACCTAGACAAACTGTTATCTATAATTCTGTTAAGGCTTTATTATAAGTTCAAGAACCTGCCAAAACACTTCTCTAGGCAAAATGGCGTCCCTATGATTACCACGCTTACACATAAATGAACGTCAAGTTTTACATGTTATCATATAGAGTCTGGCTAATGAAAGAAGATAATGAAAAAGCGCGGCGAATTAAAAAAAAAATAGTATGGTATCCCTAAAAGTTTGATACATTTTGTGGATTAAACTTACTTGATACTTGATTTTATTTTATTATTTTGAACATTTATAGTAACTGTATTTCTATGAATTTAAATACTATACGTATTTAGTTTTTTACTATTGATACTTAAAATGCATGCAATGCATTGCATGGAAAACTAAAACAACTTTATTCGGAATAATCAAATCCTGCGAAAGAAACGAAATATTCTATCAAATAAAACAAAGTTAAGGCTATTATACCTGTAAACTATTTGGAAAAAATATAAAATAGAAATAAAAATCAGTAATTGCATGAAGTATCAAGACAATAAATCTAAAAAATTCAAGGAGATTCTGTGTTGCCATCCAAAAGTTTTCAAATAATTCAATTATCTTCTTTCATTAGCCAGACTATATATTTCGATCAATAACAATTAACAAAATAAATCTCCGAGGCCCGTATTCTAGAACGTCAAACAATCTTAATGTTATGAGCTGTCAAACCGTGTCTGTGTGAAGTTTGACATTTGACAGTGCTTGAGATTGTGACTTGAGATTCGAAAAATAATATGGACACTAGACCGTAACAGGCGAAAACATCTGTCTAATCTCATACTAAGGAAATTTGTTAAAAATAATTGTAGGTAAATCTTTACTATAATTTTAGCTTAAAAAGTATTAAGTTGATACCAAAAATACTTTAAGTTGACACTAACGTACTAAGTTTCATTTTCTTCTATTAAAATGTCTTCTAGTAATAATTTCTTGATAGACGCAAAATGTTTCTTATATTTTAGTTATTAAAAGGGTACAGTGCTCGTTTGCTTCGACTTTAAAATAGAATTCAAAAATAGGTTTTGTTATAAATTCGAATTGGAGAACGCTAAAATTTTGCGCGATGTAAATGTTATTTATCGATAAATCTCGTTTCTGAGTACTCTGCGACTGACTCTCCAAATATCGCAGCGAAAAGTAAATACAGTCTAAATCTGTTATAGCCACATCGAAGGGGCTAATCATATATCGTTGCTTTAAGTCCCTAATACAATAGGATTCAGCCGGGACCTTTGATTTTGGTCAATATAACCGGTATGTTGTTCTAAACGATGTCGTAAACGGTTTTCACTGTATTATAATAATTTAAATTCAGTAATTATTAAATCAATATTAAATTATTGTAACAACGCTAATGTCAATAGACTACAGTTTGGCAGTTACAGATTTTGACGTTAGGAAATACATAGATTTTACATAAAGGTTATGCCAAATATTTCTATAATCTATGTTTTAAAATGTCTTCCTTTTATCAGTCACGATGACGATTTTGCATTTATTTTTAATAGATATAGGTTGTGATTTGTTTGTACTGTGGAAATTACATTAATATGTTATGTTAATTATAATAAATGAGGATAAGCTTTATTAATAATTGGTGCCTTTATACATTTTTCAAGTAATTATATTATTCATGGGACAATATTATGCCAGTGCTTGAATTTGTACGTAAATTTTATACTACGGCAAGAAGACAAACTTACTGCATCGCAAAAAGTTTTATACATTTTTTTATCTGTGGCATAAAACCGTTGTGATTGGTCAAATACAGTTTGTGTCTGTGGACTACATATACTGTTGACCAATGATAATCAAACGATACGCTCCATCGGGCGTCTCTATCTCATAACCCAGTAAGCATAAAGACCTTACATTTTGACATAATATGTGAACTATTTTTCTTAATTTAATTTAAATATTTTAATGTTAAATAATTGTTTAATTGTACAATTCATTTATTCGAGCATTTTAATAAAAATTTAATTAAAAGTAGTATTTTATTTTTGTAAGTGAATCAGCAGCGATTTTACCATTAGAATATGAATTGCACTTATGTGTTGAGTTACTAATGTAACAGACGTGACGTCGCCAGTCACATCCTGCCAAGCCAAGCCATGCCATGTTGACCACCCCTCCAACCAACCGCCATGCCTGCCAACGGCAAATGCCAGCCACTTGGAGGGGATGAGTCTATATAAGCCAAAGCCAGCCGTAATTAAACTTACTCTTTGGAAGACGCAGCTAATAAAAAACAAATGTGCTGTCACTCTGCCATTTTATTTTCGCTGTCAATTATAATAAATTAAAATACAATTATCAATTAAAGAATAGGTCAATTATACTAAGTAAATTAGGTATAATACACTAAAAATATGCACCTTTTGTATACACCTAAAGTCAACACCAATTACAGAGGGAACAGCTTTATGGTTAGGGCGGCGGGTAAGTTTAACAATTTAACTGTTGTTCGCCTGAAGTGTGGTGTCGGCAACGAGAGCTCTGATATCTGAGTTTCTATGTGGAATAAAACGTGCTTTATAAGTGTATAATATGTATGTTATACTACTCTACGTGTTCCTCAACGTTTAAGTTTTAGTTAGATTATTGCTTTCTTTTAAAATCGCGTCTGGCACATAGTTAGCAATGTGAAAAATGTCTGGCAATAAAAAAAGTATGTCAGGTAGACTTATTTAAAAAGGAAAAATTAAAAATTGCGCTTCTTAAAATGCAATGCTTCATCATACTGCAATACTTTTTCATTTTAATTAAAGGCTTAACAATCGAATTAATATCTGGCAAATTCATTTTTAGATTTTCTTATATTTAAATAACATAATATTAAAATTACAGACATTCTAAAATAATTTGAAATTTTTATAAAAAAAACTTAAAATCGCGTCTGGCACATAGTTAGCAATGTGTAAAATGTCTGGCAATAAAAAAAGTATGTCAGGTAGACTTATTTAAAAAGGAAAAATTAAAAATTGCGCTTCTTAAAACGCAATGCTTCATCATACTGCAATACTTTTTCATTTTAATTCAAGACTTAACAATCGAATTAATGTCTGGCAAATTCATTTTTAGTTTTTCTTATATTTAAAGAACATAATATTAAAATTACAGACATTCTAAAATACTTTGAAATTTTTATATAAAAAAAACTTAAAATCGCGTCTGGCACATAGTTAGCAATGTGAAAAATGTCTGGCAATAAAAAAAGTATGTCAGATAGACTTATTTAAAAACGAAAAATTAAAAATTACGCTTCTTAAAATGCTTTTAAAATCCAGGATTATTACCGGACAGATAGGATGCGCACTAATGAACGCAACCGCTACCGCCAGCCAGATTGCCCAGACTCTAACCGAAAGTGCAAGAAGGAAGACATATCACAAAATCAGCTGACCTAAAATTCTTTCTTTTCAAACGTTGCTACCTCCCGTACTATGATGGTAAAATGATTTTTTGTTACTAA